GCAAACTGTTTAGCATGAAAATGAGTTTGATTTGAATGAAAATGAACGTACAGCTAAAACAATTCTTCAAGTGAAATGAACTGAAGTTTCGCACGAAAGACTTCTTGTAACACAAGCAGAAGACAAGCAGAAGGCAACTCAGACTTACTTTATTCTTCTTATCAGAGATGCTGAAATGACGAAGCTTCACAGAAATTCTTTCCCATTATTTCTTCCCTGTACTGAAGTATGTGATTTGTAACAAGCAGCATCAAAATGTAACGAGTCGGAAAGGCAAAGAACACACGTCACTCATGCCCCACTGCCCTCCCCCTCTTCAAAAAAGAAAAACTAATAATAATAACGAAGAAAAACAGTCTCCCAAACAACGAAGAAATGCCGGGATTGATTGACAACGCAGCTCTCAAGCACGGCGTTACTAAACAAGGCAACAAACTCTCATTGCATTACAATAAGAGTGTATTAGTCTAGTTTTACAGTGTACTCTTAAAACCCACCTTCTTAGGAACCCACTGATCCTGTTTTGAGCCAAGACCGAGTCTTCCAAATGATCCTCTCCCCCAGGTATACAGTGCGCCTGTATCTGTGAAAAGTCATTTAAGAGTTAAAGACTGTTTTTTAGATGATCACTTACAATTGAATCATGAGCCACTAGTAATTAAAATAAAAGTAGAGAGATGAGTGACTTTGAGTTCCTGAATTGAATTTTCGAACTAACGTAACAGAAGTTGATTCTATACACACAAAAACCTGCACGTTAGCGAATACCACGTAACATGCCGTTACTTTAATAGGACAATCCACTTCGCTTCTACATGGAAACGTCGCTCCTCTTTAATATTTTCGAATAAAAAATGTCCATGACGTTCCAATGGATATCATAGAGAGATATTCTGTGCAAGGTATTCCGGCTGCATGAAAGGAGCCACGTCACGGTTTCTGCATCTTGAAAATTTAAGCCTAGGTTTTTCAAGTTCTTCGTTTGTAATCCGTGTCAATCTTCTCCATCCTTAACCATCCTTATTCCTTTATGGTTTACTATTATCTCTTTAGTGTTTTTCCACCTAAGTAAACTACTATTTTCAGATTTCCTTCGATTTAAAGGCAACTCCATATGCGGCCAAAAAAACTCAAAATTTTTGAGGCAAACACTTTGACCGCATTTTGTCAACCACTTGTGATGAACCAAAAGAACCTCTGCAAAGGAGGCTAAATCGTATTGTTATACAATGTAGTCACCATCTGTTTTTTCATCGGATAAAAGCCTACAGATAATTCTGGGAAACAGCGCAACCGACAGATACAACCCGTAGGTTGCGCGCGCAATGCATGATTTCCAAGAGCAATGTCAAGTTCACGTAAGAACATGGCTTGTCGAAAATAAACTGTGTTCGGTGCGCTAATGCGTTTGTCGTTATTTTCTTTAAAACAATGTACAATAAGACAATTATGAGATTCGGTTTTTGTGACATCCGGAATAATCAAGGTCGAGGTAAGTGTTATCAGCCGCAGCCTTCGGCTCCGGCTGATAACGCTAACCGAGACCTTGATTATTTCGGACACCACAAAAACCTCATCCAATAAAACTGTTTATAATTGTAAGACTTGAAACTTCCAGCTATTTGATGTTCTATACAGACCTGTCACTACAGCAGTGTTATCGGGGCCGCAAAACACTCGTGTAACAGTTTCATCGATGGAGGAAAACTCTTGAATTTTTCTCGGCGTCTTCGCAAAAGAAACCTCCCGGCCATGTCCCAGAACACCATAGCCCCAACTGTAGAGTTCCCCAGTGACTACAGTTGTTCAAAAACAAGAATAAAAATATTTACAGTATCAGCCATGATGTCAAAGCAACCAATCCTCTTACTGATTAGTTTTGATAATTTCGTGTTTCATCTGGATAACGCGTCAATGTAGGCAACCGTCCTAATTTAAGTGAAGTCTCTGCTTGACAGGTTTTTCAAAATTAGTTATCATGGCATGTGTCCATGAGCCTTAACGAAGGCATTCACAAAATGAATTGATAACCGTGCACCCCTGTTTCCTAAAATGTAGCCATTACAAAGAGAGAACTCCCTGTAAGAGGAGATTTCTCTGGGAGAAGAGATCTCCCTGGGGGAAGAGAACTTCCTTGGGAAAGGAAAACTCCCTAGGAGAGGAAAACTCCCTGGGAGAAGAAACTCCGCGGGAGGAAAGAAATCCCTGGGACAGTATCCCTCGTGTATTCCGATCTTCTCTCCCTCCCCCTATAGCCTACGTTTGCCCCTGGGGTGTGACATATAACTAAGAAGTTGTCACGTAACATTCCAGGATAGCTTGCGGATCGGCATTAAGTCGTGTAGGAGTTGTCGAGTAACAACCAACGACATATGTTGCGCAACAGACAAAAATGGCAACATGTCACGTCTTTGATACGTAGTTCACTCACCAGTGAGGGCAACACAGAACGAGCCACCAGCAGCCACGTGTGTGATCTCTGGTAGACCTTTTAGTAACGAGGCTCTTTTAGGGACTGCAAACTAACGTATCAGTGAAGATCATCAGAAGAGAAGATAGAAGCCTTACGCAATATTTTACTCCACTTTTTTTTTCCATGATGGGCAATTTGATCTCTTTCGAACTTCCATGAATCTCTGCTTTTCGGTTTGAGAACCTAAAATTTTCAAGCGGCTTCCTAATATTCTAACCCTCTTTCTATCTCAAATTGCTTTCTGCCAGCAGCTCCCTTTTGTAGAGTGATTAATAACGAAAAGGTTTCTGGAGGTCAAAGCTTCCTCGGTTCCATACAAAACTTTCTGTTTTTTTTTTGCAATGTTCAAATTGCCATTAAATCTCAACTTTCCATGGCATTGGTCTGAAAACTGGTGTTCTGGCTATTTAACACATGCTCTTTCCAGTTCTGAAATTCATATAGTTGCAGCAAAAAGTTAAAAAATTATAGGCCACGTGACCAACTGTTGCAAAAGGTCTATTCTACTTGAAGCTAAACCTCATTCAACACTTCAGGGTACATCCCCCACGAACAAGGAAAAAAATCCGTTTAACAATAGGCCACTTCCGAGTTGCCTTTTGCCTCTGTTTCAAAACGAGTCTTCGTGTGAAATCATTCACATGAGAATGTGTTCCACCTTCAGGTTCATTTTCATGCAAATCAAACTCATTTTGATAAGAAAGGTTTTGAAACAGAGGCAAAAGGTAACTCGAAAATGGTCTTTTGAGATGCTGTAGAATGCTTTGAGATACGTACTTGCTCTTCATCACTTTCAACGGCCAGCTGACCATATTCATTGTTTCCCCAAGAAAATACTTCTCCTTCATCTAAAATGGCAACAAGTTACAATTAGATTTGAACTACAATAACTTTTTATAGTTTTTTGGTAATCCGATCTCTTCTTCGTGTCTGAATTTTCGGTGGCTTCTTGGTCCACCTTCATCAGAGTTGCTATCTGTAGGTTCGTTATTGCTCTCGCAAGCCCGTTTCCTGTCGTTTTATGGATCGTCTCTTTGACGTCAGTGCTGTTCCAGGTTGAGTGCTACGACCCCAAGAAAAGCCGTTCAGTAATAGATCACAGAAGACGTCAAAATGTCGTAACAACATCAGTGACACACTTGGCTATCAACTCATGTGCCACTTTTTTGTTCTTAGAACAATTTGACGTCATCTGCGATCAATTACTGAACAGAAGCACGGCAACATGGAATCCGTTTGTTAAGTATATTGTGCTTATGGTGCATGTATTTCATTACCTGACAGAGCCAAACAGCAATCTGCTGAAGAAGCGACTTGTTTTATTCGAACGTCTTTCAGTTCTCCTTCGATAAGGTTAAAAGTAGCCTCATCTTTAAAATGACCTAGCCCTGGAAGAAGTAAGAAATCATTAAAAGAACTACATCACGGCTTGGGCATCTTGAAAAGTTAAACCTAAATTTTTCAAGTTCGTCGTTTGTAATCCGTGTTAATCTTCTCCATCCTTATCCATCCTTGTTCCTTTATGGTTTATTATTTTCTCTTTGGTGTTTTTCTATCTTAGTAAACTACTATTTTCAGGATTCCTTCATTTTGCACGTGGCCAAAATAACTCTAAGTACCGCGACTGTGCCGCCTTAAGAATGAAAGCCTATGTCAACTTTATAATCCACAACATCTGTGCAACACACTCCGTCAGTCTGATCAATATGAACGTGAACAACGCAATCCACGACGTTTTCAACACGATCTTTATTAATTACAAATATTTTACTTCATTTTCAGGGTAGTAGAGTCAAAACATGGGCTCTAAAATTAGCCAGAATGTCTAAAAAGTGCTATGAAGAAATTTGTAGTTTCTCTTATTTCACGCGACAAATGAATGCCATCTTGATTATGATTAAAGTACGCGAAATGGCGAAATAGCGAAATGGCTCTAAGGTTAGCCAAGATAGAGCTCTGATTAGCCTGAATAGCACTCCAGTTAACCCAAATAACACACACACAAATATCACGGAATTCACTTGACAGTGGTTACATGTAGCTGTCAATAATTGTAAGGGTTAACCGGCATTAAAGAAACCCCAGCCTGTATCTCACTTTGACTCTCAACCATATACAATGTAGTGCCATTTTCGTCATTTCGCCATTTCATGTTTTAAACACGCCCGAGACAGAGGTAGTGACCCAGGTAGAAGATTGATCTACTTCAGGCCATTTTCCAAGTTACAAAGAGTTGACACTGATAATCTTACAAAGGCCGAGAAATCATTTTAAGGTGTGTTCTTGCCACAGACTTACCATTCTGTCCATCTGCACCCCAACCACAGGCCAGTACTCTGCCATCATGACACAGAAGAAGGGTGTGGTCCAAGCCACATGCTATCTGGAGGTCGAAACAAAAATTAGCCTTTTTTGTAGGTCTCAAATTAACAGGAAGAGAGAAGAAAGAAGAACAGCCCAAGTACAAATTGTATTAGGCAGCAGCCAATGGAATATTGCCTCATGGTTAAATGGTGTGCCAGGCTCTTGATATAGTGCTACAGTTCTTTAAGTTTGGGTAACTGGTAAATTAAACATTTTGTGTATATGAACAAGAACTACATGTAAGTTCATACACTGTACATGCTGAAATTTTCATAAAACTCCTACAGCTGTACTTAATTATAGTCACTTAATGAATGGTGCTACAGAGACTGGCAAATAACAATTTTGAACTTAGCAGGTTGTGCAAGAAGACACAAAAAGACACATTTTATAACCTACTGCATGGAATCACAATCACTAAATCTTATGCACACCTGTTTAATCTTCCCTGCAAGACTTTGTATCTTTGTAAATTGCTTGATAGAACTTCCAGCCACATGTCCAACTCCACACTGTCCATGATAGTGTCCCCCACAGGTCAACACTGCATATTAAATATTAAATGGTAAAATCTCAACTGAAAAGGCATGCATGTGCAATAGATACAATAGTTGTCAAGTGGTTAATTAGCATTTCAGACATCTGTCTGTCCATCCATCCTAGGCTGTTTACACTCGCCTATTTTTCTGTGAGATTGTAGATATCAATTGCTGAGTTTGACGAGCCATCATCTTGGTCTCTTGATGCGGGCAAAACTGAGGAGAGTACAAAATGCTGTGGGTAGGGGTGATGGAGGCCTCAACGATTGACATGTACAATCTCACGGCAAAATAGGGGACTGTGAACAGTCTACCATCAGGCAAGCTGTCTGCCCATTCATCTGTCTGTCCATCTGTCTTTCTGTGTGTCCATCTGTCCACCCATCTGTATGTCTGTCTGTTTGTACATCTGTCTGAATGTCTGTCCATCTGTCTGTCCATCTGTCCATCCATCTGGCTATCCTCCGTCTGTCCATCTGTCAGGCAGGCAGTCAGACAATGAGACAGTGATACAGTCAGTCAGTCCATCTGTCTGTCTGTCTGATGTGTACAATGTACCTTCACCATTGTCCATTAGCACTGCAGAGTGTGATCTTCCACAGGAAATCTGCTGAACTCTCAATGATAGACTTGTATTCACACTGAGATCAACTGTGGATGGACCTGATTCAACTAAATAACAAGGAAAAGAAATCAAAGATTAATGAACTGTTTGGGTAAAATAATATTTCAAATCTTTTTTGCTTTTTTGTTCACTTACATGTAACTCCATTCACTTAATATTACATCCATTTGTTATTGTTATACTTTTAGTGAAAGCAGTTTCAAATCTTTGATTAGAGTGACATAGAAGTTTCTTACTGGACATTTAAATTACTTAAAATAATTAATATTATTTTATACTGTCAGTATTTTGCCTTTAAAGCTAATGGCCTCTAGAGACCCCCTCCCCCTCTGGGCCCTGTTTAGCCTGCGAACACAGATGTATTTCCGGCTGTCACTTGGTTCCACCGAAAAATAACGTCTGCGAACCTGCACCAGGAAACAATTTCTGTGATGTAGGAATTCTAAGCCAATCACAGTTTAGCTCAAATGACTCCAGAACTATTGCGCGAGTTATTTGCTGCGAGGAGCACTCGAGTTTCATTCTATCATGGAATCTGATTGGCCAAGGAGAAACAAAAGTCATAACGCCACAGCAATCATTTCCTGGCTCGGGTTCGCAAACGTTATTTTTCGCGGAACCAAGTGACAGCCGGAAATTTGCCTGCATTCGCAAGCTAGGCCCTGTTAGGACTTTCAAAAACCCTCTGTGGAAACAATTGCATGAAGTGTACAAATACCTTGTCCATTGCTAGATGACAGCTGTCTTGCCAGCTGTGAAAATGAATTCAGACCAGTTGTCCACAGGCTGTGACTGTCTGCTTTAGCTGCTATTGTGAAGCCATACCCACAGCCTATGTGGGAAACCTGAGAGTGTGATTGCAGATACAAGCTTCTGTTACTTAGTAAATACATTCAGTCATGTAAACTGTTGACTGAAATACACAGTTGGAGTTGAATTTAGCAAAGAGAAATATAATGTACAAATTGTACACTGAATGGATTATGTAAACTAGGACAGTATGCATGATACAGAACATGGTTTTTTTATTTATATATAAAAAAAAATAGTTAACTGCTTTATATCTCTCACTTTGAATTTTCATGATGTACTGCTGAGGCACTATGACATACACGTAGCTCCACAGTTGCAGTAGTTTTACTGTTAGTATATTCTTGACATAATCCATGAACTGCTAATATTCCAGCAGATATCTCTACATCTAGGAGTTCAACATCTTCATGAGCCATGAGATAGTTGAGTGCTATAAATTTACATATTTACATTTACGTTCAAAGGCTTCGCAATATAAGCCTTTTAACTTATTGTCCATAAGACATGGCAGAGAACAACAAATTTGTTCCAAGTGTATCAGGAAACTAAAAGTATTTACCTATAAGAAACAGACTGCTATAAATATATTATAAATTAGACAATTTAATATTTTTTTATATTTAATAGACACATTAAAAAATGCAAATGGATGTCTGTCTAAGTTATCTTACTTCACTAGGAACAGGAAATTTTTTAGGCAGAAGACCGCATTCTTGGGTACCAGTTCCCAACTGTCCACCATCCCCAGCTCCCCAAACATAGGCCACAGAGGAAAACTGCGATAAAGACCCTGAATAAGAAGAAAATTACATCAAATGCATTACACATCAAGTGGGGGTGACTGCCTTCCCCCTTTTGGATATTAGTCCTTAGGCTTCCCTCACCCTTTAAACATGTTTCAGGTTCCCTTTCCAATAAAATATAATAAACACATGTACAGTTCCAGAAATATCTGTACTCCCCGTACAAAAGGGATTGGAAAATCTTGGGGGTGGGGTAATCTGTAAGACCAAAAAAATAAAGAAATGTATGAAGCTTAATTGGAATTTCCTGAGGATTGGGTGGGTGGGGGGTCTTAGAAAAAATCTCTTCTATGGGGGAGGTATGGTAATGGATATTATCTGGAAATACGCAATTCTATGAAAACGTTAACTAGTGACCATCATTTTATAATTCTTCTGAGGTGCATTATACTGTATCTATGTCAGGTTAACAGAGATCCTAACAATTTGCTAGTACAAGTATGTTAATTATTATTTTTATGCACTTGTTCCTGGCAGAGAAAAACTTACTGTAAAACAAAGGTGGGTTCAAACCAACAAGACCTCTCAAACCAGATCATAGAGTCAATTGCACTTTTGCTACAGTACAATTTGTTGAATTTAATTTCTACAGCAGGGATACAAAAAGGGGAGAGAAAGGAAGTTTGCAATAAATTGAGAGCAGGCTAGGAAGCAAGGGGAGTGAGTAGACTGCATGCCTTATCGATTTCTCAAACCCAGGCCTTCCACAATCAACATTAAACAGAGTGAGATCTGGATACCAGTATACTCAAAAGATATGCCCACCCCCCCCCCCCCGGGGGGAGGGGTTACTCCCTTATATGGGCTAGGGTATCGATTTTGGTCATTTTGGTCTTATTTAAAAAGGGTATGGTTTTAGCACTCTAGTCTTGAATTACGTATGTTTCTTAGAAAAAGCTACTTTTTCATCATTATCAATAAGACCATCATCAAAAGCCCTTCATAACTTATGTTTAGGACAAGAGTGCCAGCTGCAACAGTCATAAATAAGGTATTAAATTTTTGGCCAGGTCATAAATAGGGTAGCAAAAATCGCAGATTTTGGTCATAAATAGGGTAAGGGTTTAGGGGAGTAGGCTGCACATGCCTACCCAACTGTTCTGGGAGTACCCCCTTCCCGGGGGGGGGGGGCAACACCACCCATGCTCTCTCCCTTCTATGACTTCTGAGGATTATTGCAACTATGTATAAATTTTTTGTACACTTACCTTTATTTTTTAGCTTATTAAACACCACCAAGGACTGTTTCAGCCATTTCTGTGATCTGCTGATCAGTCTACAGCACAAAAAGCTCATTGGATATCAGGATTTTATTTTCCAGTCAGCTGAGAACTTGTCATAATTTATGACTTAACACATGCTGCAATGTCATACTGGTCATTTAAATACTGTTTATCTGACAAACAAAGGATTAAGAATATCAGGTTAGTTCTTAATTGAAAATAAAATTATTTTTTAAAAAAGTGTTATTCCGTTCAACAAAGTAGAACGCAAACCTAATTTTGACCTGTGGCTTTTCAGAGTTGGTCTCCCTGTGCACAGTTCTAGGCTGAAAAAAACCACATTTCTGTAAGGACACCAAAATGGCCACCCCGCTTGATTTTTGCAGGGGCATGTCATGGCCAGTAAACTGGTACAGTAACTGTTTAATGCTAAGACATGTGATAAGATATGTGGTGAACATGTGAGTATGTGAGCAGGCCATGTGAGCTTGTCTTTCCGATGGATCTTTTTTTGACTTCTCTCCATTCAGTCGCTGTACGCCTCGCTATAATGTGCTCTCAGTGTTAGATTTTGGCGAATTTAGATGCTTCGACAGCAGCATTTATCGGAATCTGAGGGAATTGTCCTTGTTTATTAACACGACTTGGCTTTGGGATGATAACCGTGGGAACAGCTAGTTCCAGTCGCGACAGATAGCTCAGTCATTATCCGGTCGAAATTTTATAGTTTGGAATCGGTGGAAAAGTACTCTGAAGGCAAGATCCATAAGACTACTTTATTCATCAGGGGAAATACTTGAATTAGTCCCGAAACGAGCACACGACTGCAAATGCTAGCTTAGAATAATGTACGTAATTTGAATATTCTATGAAACTTGAGAGACTACAGAAACTGGCAGTGTCACGCAACGTATCAACAAATCGTGACCTCTTCACTAGCATGGACTTTGACACTATGCATATCTGACTGTAAAACCTCGNCACTCTCATCGTCTCTGATTACTACTAGTATACATGTAAACAGAAAAAAAAAGAATAACTTTGCTAATGTAATAATTTAATGATTATCAACCTCATATCTGTAATAAGCAATTATCGATTGACAGTTCAAAAGACTTCTGTTAGTAAATAGAAATTTAAATTTCACTGATGCAACGATTTCTCTCTGCATGTACAATTCCTTACTCTCTTGATTACTATAGACTGGTATCGGATGAATATCATATCCTACCGAGATCCAGGAGTGGTCTTATCGGTTAAATTGTTCAGTTTTAAATTTTCATGCATGGAGAATTTAAGCATAAGAATTAAGCATAGAAACATTTGTAATTCCCCAACGTTGTGCTTTTATTTCGTGCCGCTGACATGTTTAATACAGACATAGATTTCACAGTGAAAAAACAAAACTACTGGCTGATCGCAATCTATCATTTCTTCAAATCATGATCTTCAGAATTCAATGAAGGTACGGCTGAGCAATATAAATTGTCAGTTAGCTTTTCAACATGCTAGTTCTGCAATTTTAACGCGTCAAACAGCTGACAGATGATCAAACACACGTGGATGGAGATCGCACGAAGTGTTTAAAATTAACGCTGTGTGGATAACCATTCGATTTCGTTGATATTTCTCAATACTACAACCTACCTTACAGTTAAGCTTTATGATCCCAGCCTTATTTAAACAAGAGCATTCGACAGTGAAAAATTCTCGCTACTTTGAATCGAGGATTGCTAAAATTCCGACCAAAAACTTTAGCAGCAGCAATTTCCGTCAGGCGTTCCTGGGGTCACCGCCTGCAAGGATCTATGGTCAGGATGACGTCGTTCACACGATCTCCCGGAAATTTTCATACGAAATACTGTACATGTGTTTGTTGTGTTTGTAGAGGTTCTTTTCGGGATAAAGCTAGTTTGTATTTATCAGGTAGGTACCAGTAAGAATGGAAATTTACTAATTTATGTGATCGAGATACTTTCAAGGTGTTAGCGAGGTTGAAAAGCTTCGAAACAGGTCGTCTTAAAAGCGTGCTTCTAGAATTTCCAGCGATTCATCGTTCGTTCTAACGAACGAATGTACTGTGAGAATTCTATATTGAAACTATGAGCTTAAGCTTACATGTTCTAGAGAGGCAGAACTGCGAAATTTGCTGCCTGGTTATCAAATATGTTAATTGATAAACAGTGTAGAACACAGTTAGTATAAGCTGACATTCATTAGAGCAAGGTTCTTTCTTCGTATCTTTAGTTTTCATTGCCTTATATATGTGAAGTCTCAAACGGAGAATTTATTTTACCAGTGAAAATCTATAGCGATTTTATTTATTCCAGGATTTACTGACTGTCTTTGATTGCGCACTGATTATTGAAAAATTCCACGAGTCATAGTTTGATTGGTATAGTTTGATTTGAAGTTGGGGTGGCAAATCTTGCATATAAAGTTCAAATTATACATTGTACCTAAGCTTATAGCAATCACGTTATACAGATGTTAGTACCGGTTTGTTTGCGCCTAGAGACGAAAGGGAACGTGTTATAAATTGTTGTTTGTTTCGAAAATAATTCGTACCACTTATAAGAAATTTGGGCCTCTTGAAAGTTGTCCATCAGGCAGATGTTCATCTTCAGCATAGCATGAAGCGACTAGTGGTATTTCTACTCCTCCCCCACTCCCTGGATCCACTGGGATGCTTGTACAATGCAGGGTTATCCCCAGCATTAAATTTGGCAGTACCCATTTTTACCGTACCCTATTACATACAATTAGCTGATCAGAAGTTGTGTCTTCTGTCTTCGATTGATCTCCTGACCTTCGATATCAAGTTACTGACCTGATATGGATGCAATCTCATTTAGTTTAACTTGGCTGATGTTTAATACCTATTCATATCCTTTTAGGTATGCTTGGGGGGCACATCAGGCTTGTGTGGTCTCACCATGGGTACTTTGGCTTGACTGCGTCTTGCCAAAATACAAACCATGGCTTGACCAAAGTCGCCTGAAGTGTTAACCAAAAGAATGGTTGGTTACCACTTAATCTGGAGTCCAACAAGTTAGCCATTACGCCACTGCATCCAACTTACATACTAGAACTTTTTGCTCTTTAAATATAACATTTTGGGTTATGTATAAAACTTGAGCATGTCAAAATTAGATAATCGTAAGACTTCCTGTCCAAATTTAACCTTGTTGGCTCAAGTAACAAACGTAAAAACTCACTTCCAAATGTAAAATTATTGCCAAATATAAAACTTTATATTCTGCCATAATTATATTGAGCCTGACAATTTTAATATAATATTGTCTACAAGTACGGGAAAGTGTTATATTTTTGCACAGATTTTATATTGTGCGACAAGGAGTTAAAATTTGGCAGAAAATTCTGTTTTTTGTCACAATGATCAACATATTGAACAACAAGTTTTAAAATACGCAAGAAGTTTTATATTTTGACACAAGCGTTATATATAATCAGTATGTTATATTTAAAGAGTAAAAAGTCCTATATTTAATATCTATGCAAAGTAAAGTGTTAAATATAGGTCAAGAAGTATTTTTGAAACAAAATAGAAAGAAGGAAACTTTCTAACATCAAGTGAACTTATAATATAAATTATTCTTGACTTTTTTTTCCTTAAACTGTAGTTCCCAATGGCTCGTGGTCACCAAAAATTTCAGTCTCAGCAGAAGAATGCACAAAAGCAGGAGAAACTTAAAAAAGCTCAAGGTGGACCTGATCAAAAGGCCGCTGCACAAAAGGCACTAGTCTTTACTTGTACCGTTTGTAAGGTATGTAGCCTGAAATGAATTAACAGCGGTTTTATTCTTTAAGGTTACAGTATACCTTCAGGTTGGCAATTTTCTTCAAATTTGGATTTTTGGGTCAAAGTAGTGGTCGAAGAATAATCTCTAATTTCTGAAAAATGTTTTTGAAAAAGACTAAATATTGGGGGAGAAATGGCGGTTTAACGTTTTTGCTGGAAGTCAAGGTTTACCTCGTGATTGACAGCCCTATGGCACATATGCAATCAACTGAGACGATTTTTGAGGGGAATTACCTATATGGATGTCACAAATTGACTACTCAGTTGATCCGCATTGTTGTTCTGACTACCAAGCATTTTTGGTATTAGGTGTAATTGTATTAAGTTATAAGTAAACATAGACCACATTAAAAACATGGACCAGTTCGAAAAAGCGAAAACAGTGAAGAACGAATGAAAATACATCAATGAGTGAAGAAGGGAAAGTTCGCCACGTGGAGGAAGCTATAGCTATCGTATAAGGTGGACAAAAAAATCGAGGTAAGAGAAAAGAAAGGATCTGTAAAAATTTGGGAACTTGGCAGCAATAACAGGGATGTTGACAGAGACTGCGATGAATCCGATATTGAGGAATCATTGGACTCATTGAGACCCATTGAAATATTATCCATGCACAAATGACCACGCACAGTTGCTCCGCAGCACTTTCTTTTTACTTGATATCTTAGCCCAGCCACTCTAGCATTTGTATCCTTTTTCGTCTTCCCCATTTTGCCAAAGTGACGAACTTCATAATCAAGAAAAACCGAGCTACAGAAAATTATCCTTCCGCCTTCGGCACCTTGAGTGCATTGCAAAACAAAAGGGTTTTTTGGAGATTTGCCCGTAAATTTCACCAGGAGGTTAATGGTAGTAAACTTTCCCTGCACTGATTGGCTCAGTTATCTGAGAACCCAGTTGAAGGCGTTTGTGGGCAGAGTTTGTTTTTGAAGAAGAAGATTTTTCTTAGTGTTGTTTTCTTGAATAAATTTTTTTGCTTGAAGAAGACACTTTAAAGTTATAACTCAAAGGGAATTTGTTCAATTGCCCTCAAATTTGGACAGTAGCTAGTTTAACATATAAACTACAAACAGGTGTCTGCGAATTGTTAATTTTGAAATATTTTTTCTTTGAGAGCGATTTTTGTACGATCACTGTACATTTTTTTTCAATCCTATCTCAAAAATGTTCTGTAACTTTTTACTGCAATTAAATATGGCAAAACGCAGACACGCCTTTGAAGCGCTTTGGGCCCTGAAACCGAGGAAAAAATGAAATTGCCAAAAAAAAAAATTCACTTTGACTTGTAGCTTCAGAAAGGTGATTCAGGCGCTCGCATTTAGTGGTCGTGAAAAATTTGACAATTCATTTTATTTCAAAATTCTTGGTATAGTTTGATAACCAGCTCAATAAGCTTTAATTTGATATGGGGGTTTAGGTATTTACCGCTTAAACTGCACGCGCTACATCGCTTCCACGCGAGACACCCCTGAAGGTATATGGTAACCTTACCTAGAATTTAACTGTGGGTAATCACATTGTATAATTAACAAATGTATGTTTCAATTCAGTCTCAGATGCCAGACCCCAAAACATATAAACAACACTTTGAGAGTAAACACCCCAAGGCACCCCTTCCACCAGTGCTGGCTGGTCAGTAACAATAAAGATTATTATGGTAAGAAAAATTAAATTCTTGTTATAATATAGTCGCATTCACATGTATGACTAAATGATAAAGTTACTCTGAATAGTTAAAAGTGTATTTTTGCAACATGAAAGGCAGATTATATTATAAAAGTACTTGTATTAAATTTCTTGTTTGCTATGACAGTGTTAACTAGACTACCAGAAGTCCCTCTTTTGGTCAATCCATTGAGTATGACTGTAAATAAACTGCTAGAAAAAGTCGTCATGCACAACTACATGTAACTAAGCAAAAGAGACTGCGACATACAGCTTCACATAAAAGAGTAAAAGCTTAGTGCACATCAAGTGTTCTAATTGCTATTAATTAATACCTAATGTGGCCTGTTGTCAATTTCTAACAGTTTTTTGCCAAGATTTGTAGTACAAAGTATTTGAGATGGATGTCATGGAAAGTGCAGATTCAGTCTGTGCCATAGTTTATTAGTTTACGTAAGGGAAGCAGAGTCCCTGAGGGCAGTTTAAATGCCTACTCAAAAGACATGTATAAGGCATGGCATTTGTGGAAAGCGGCTTTTTTTATTTTATTTTATTATCTTTTTACTATTAGTTATTAGTAGTTTTAGCTGACGAGTTTTTAACTATGTTTAAATAAAGATTGTTTACATATCTATAATTTTTTTCAGTTGTTAAATTATGCAAAAATGTGTTTAAGTACATCATAATAATCAAGGCTGTTTTCTTTCGTTCCACAGTTTGATGCTCCTGTACATTATAGCCAATGAAACAACTCTTGACAAAGACTGAATCTTGTGCATTGCTCCTTCTGGGAAATTTATAATTTATTTTTAATGGCATGTCAGAAATCAAAGCGATTGAAATCTGTTGGTGGCCAGAATACATTGATTTTGTTTTTTATTTCACTGAAGGATTGCTTTTTGAATGTCCAGCTTTAAACTTAACATAAATCACTGTCTTTTGTCAATTGCCAATAAGGGGGACGGGGGAACATAGTTTCTGAGGAGTTTATCAACATGTAACATCTTGTCAGATAGCCAACCGTCAGTTATTTGCTTTAAAGGCAAGTTGAACCTTTCCTTTTCCCTAGCCCAACCTCAGTAACCTTAACTCACAATAATTGTTGCTTGAAGTGTCATGCCACATTTAGGCTATTTGACATTCCTGTCAGCTTATCTAAAGACCAAGCTCTAAATTCAGTAGTCTCTACATCCCTTAGTAAGGGGAGAGGGTAAATGGGGCTGGATAAACATCAACAAAAAAGAAGGGGGAACGGTGGAGTAATTCACATGTTGAAGTTGAGGACAAACCGTTAGTTTGCGATGTTATTGTGGAGCAAGAGTAGACAGTCCTCAAAGCTCCTAAGGCTACTGTTTTCCACATCACTTGTATGTTCATGTCCAATTTAAAGTTACTCAATGCTGTGTCATTGCTGTGTGTTAGCAGAATGGCTTCAAACGTTCTCCTGTCTGTTCACAAAATCATAACAAACACATTGTAGAGTCTTAGAGAAACTACTAACAGTGCTGGAAACTGAGAAGTAAATAATGTATTTTATTGATTGTTTTTGCTCACCCTTGTTGCACAGCAATGTATGTTTGTGAGAAATGAGAAAATGTCTAATGTGATATTATTTAAAAGCACACATACATGTACTGTACGTCTATAAAATTAACATGTTGTGTCAGCTAGTGTAACAATGAGAAGAAATGAAATTGAAAGAGGATTTACTCGAATAGTCTACACCAATAGCTAAATACATGTAGCCCTGTCAAAATGTTTTGTAGGCACAAGCAGCTGGATAACAGTAGCAGACAATAATGGACCAGGGGTTTCATCAAGGGCCGGACACCAAGTAAATTGACCGGCTGTAAGGACAATTTTTGCCCATATAGCGGAAAGTTTTTCTTACAAAGAAGTTTAGTTCTTATAGTTTTGTCCACCTGTGAAAACCAGTTGTGCTCCTGCTGAAAATGTGAATGAAACCCCTGATAAACAGAGATGGATTTGTTATTGATCAGGATTAGTGAACTCCAGTGTGAAGTACTGTAGGTGGAAAATACACTGTACAAATTTTAATTTCCTGCAGGTGGCAAAATTACACACTGCTGGGACATTTTGACAGGGTTGTACATGTGATGTAAGTGTACATGTACATGTATTAAATATTTTTTGATTTGTTTTTTTCTTTGCTACTTGAACAGTCCTTAAAGTGCAATTTGATGAAAATCGATAAGAATCAGGTGGGAAAGCAAAATAAAAGTGTTTACAAAATGTTGTCAGTTCTGTTTAATCACTGTTTCTTTAATAAACTAAATACATGCACAGTAATACTGAGATGTTTTGTACTCATTTCATTTGACACAAACGCTAACAATGGGCTGTATCTATTCAACATTATGTTTTCTTTTTAAGAAAGAACTTTACGTAATAATTTGTTGAGTAAAAAGTTTGGAGTTATTTGACCACATTGCTGGGGTATGTTGGAATAACATGATGCTTGCAAGTTTGATCAAATCAGACTTTCATTCAACATCTTTCAACACTTCTGAAAACTGTGTTCATGAAACAATCCAATTTGTGGTACATTAATCTAATTTTGACCTTAGTTCTAGCCTACTATGTACGCTATAGTACTGTACGGGATTTTGTTTGCTGATAAGTCATCGAAGCAGTTAGGCAGAGGCCAATGTAATTTCTTCAGCATTCGTCAGGTCTCTCTAAATCTTTAGTAGCCTGTGGAAAGCAGCACTGAGAAATTGAGCCGCAGCTTAGCATCCTACCAACCGGAGTTCTTGAAATTCTTATTTTTATTGCACCTGCTCCTGGTGATTTATGTTTCGTTGATTTTGACCAATGAATCTGCGTACTGAAACTCACTGCTCTGCTCATAATTATACATGTCCAGTGCAACAACACAACTTTCCTGAAAAAGATGCATGAATGCATGTATTAATGAATCAATGATAATGAATTTCTTCATACAGTTGAACCCCTACTGAGTGGCCACCCTGAGGGAAATGGGATGTGGCCGCTTTTAAAATAGGGGTTGATGTACTTTGAATATTTTCTACCATCGAGACAATCATGATAGACGTATGTTACTCCCCCGTTTAGATTTTACCCAGCCCTCACTATCTGCCCCTGGGTCTCTGAGGATGGTTACATCCCTTTCTATTTCGGACTCTTATCTGTTATTGCCTTTTCCAAAAAAAAAGGCACACCACAGATATTAAATTTTGGGTGTCCGTTTAATAAGGGTGGAGACAATCAACCCTCATTGGGACGACCGAAATGTGGCTGTGGCCACTTAATAGAGGTGGCTGCTTGATAAGGGTTTTATTTACAGTATTTTATTGACAATAATTTCGGGACTTCGATGACTGGCGGCTTAATAGGGGGTGACCGCCAAATACCTGTAGGTGCCCGCTTAATGGCAATTTGACTGTACAGTCAAACCTCCCGTAAGTGACCACCCAGAATGTCAAGCCTAGGTGGTCACTTACAAGAGCTTACACCACAATAGGTAAAAAAAAATTGCCTCATTAGCATATGGTAACTGCAGGAACTTGTGTTATCCCATGTTTTGAATGTAATATTCATGTGAAAGGTCAGTTTTGAGAAAAAAATCCAGTACTTTCCATTGAAAAATGTCTGTCTCTTGTACTACCCAGGAATGTGATAATGTTAAAATACCTTATTATGCAATTTTTGCTTTATTATCAGTCAAGCGGTCGCTTACAGGAGGTTAAAAACAAAAGAAAATTTCAAACTGTTAGCTCTAAAAGTGGTCGCAGCTGCTTATGAGAGGTGTTCATTTACAGGGGGGTCCAAATTCAGTGATTTGACTTGGAAACTTTTGGTAATTTGGAAAACTGGTTGCTGTGGGGGAGGTGGTCGCAATCAGAGGTTCGACTGTATTACTATTCACTGAACTTGTACCTGTACATGTACATTTATTTAGTGAATCAAGAAGAACAATCATAAACTATTATAAAATTATTAACAAAGTTAAAAAATACCATTGGTCACCAATTTACCTTCACGACTCTTTCTTGATCCCTTGAATACTTTTCTAAGGCTGCCAAACATTGATCCTGAAGAGAAACATTGCACTATTAGTGTATTACATACATGTATTAAATTAAAAAGGTAATTAATAGTAGCTACATTTGCACAGGGTAGGTTGTAGAACATTATTTTATGATTGTAGAATGGTGTAAACTAGAGGAACTAAGATAATCAAAATGTACATTTGTTTTAAATGTCATGTTCACACTAAGAGTGATTTTATTCAACCCAATTGAACCTTGTAACATCTAGCATCTAGTCAAAAATAGCCAAAACTAACAAAAGAAGATAATAGAATTAACTTGTCTTACTGATAGCATCAAATATTGTGTACGAGTTCACTATTTCGTGGGTAAAGGTAAAATCACTCTCTAATGGACCAGAAAGGCAATGCAAAACTTAAAATGTTTTGTCTTGATCACCAGTGAGAACAATCAGAACAATAAAAAATAATTACAAAACACTTAGGGAAGAACTGTAATGTCTCTAGTGTGAACCATAAGCTTTTTAAAAGCTGACAACATAAGTGGCTGTACAAACCTTAGCTATTGAACCTAATGCCTCAGCACATTCATGTCTCACCATTGGGTTTTCCTTCAGATCTTCAAGATTCTACCAAACAGACAAATAACAACAAAACACAAATTTCAATGGCACCATTAATTATTTTATGCAAAGGGTCTATGGAAAGTGTAATTATTGCTGATATTTAGAAGTACTAATAAAATATAATTAAATACTACATTTATTACTTTTAAATTTTAGCAATAATTGCACTTTCCACAGAGACTGTTTGCATACATGTAAATGGCACCTGAATTTGAATAACAATACTTTGCACATCCTTAGCTTGTATTCATGTTTCCAGACAAAGGATTTTTCACATGAATATGAGGCTTAAGATGTATAAGTATTGTTATTCAAATATCAGTGCCATTTATGCAAAGGGTTTATCATTTCTAAGAAAACACCGAAGTTAATAAAGCATAGCCACCCTATAAAAAGTGATGTGTCATACTTCCATATCATTATCATGAGGACAAAATATTGAAAATTCATCCTTAAAATTAAATGTGCTTTTTATATTTACCTGTATTAGCTGAGGAATGGCTGCCTCGTGTTGCATCTGTCCAAGGACATAAGCTAAAAAGCAATAAACAGTCACAAAGTGAAATAACAAGTATTCAGTATTCACTAAATTATTGACACAAATTGATTGATTGATTGATTAGTGGATTAATTGATTGAACATTACATAGCCACATGTGCATGTATATTTGGACACTTTTCATCAACAACAATCTAAGAAATATTTATCTAGTCAATAACAGTGGGGGATCTAGGGGAGGGGTCTGGGCCCGACGTATATGAAATGGTAGGTAAATCTGTAATTTAGTTATTTAAAAGAGCCTTTAATCAGAATATTCCAAACAGACGCACGTAATGGCTGTATCATTTCATTTATTACGCACTACANNNNCCCCCCCCCCTCCCCCCTTAGCTCAAGGCCTGGATCTGCCACTGAATAATTTCCTGAAATTTTCTCAAGATTCCTCTCCAGTCGCGAAACACATACTGGAACTGCTATCATGTTCTTACCAATTTCATGCCTGAATAATGCACTGCTGCACTTGAGTCCTCTGGCCAAGGCCTGCAGGATAATCAATTAAATAAAATAATCATATTAAAATTGTTATTTTAATTAATAAATTTTAAAGAAAGAATAAACTAAGAAGATTATAAATGATGATCAGTTTGAAAAGATTATAAATGATGATCAGATTCTTTTATTACCCTTACTGCCAAAATAGCTGAGTGTGTTGTTTAAAATATAATTATTTAAAACTACATTGTAGATGTGATGAATGGTATTGAATAATCTGGCTTGAATAATTTTGACTGAAGAAGAATTTGCTTGACTTGACTGTATATCAGATTTTAAAAACAGGCACTAATACATTAAATACATACATGCACACATAACATACTGTACTATAAAAGCAAATAAAACTAACCAGTACTGATTCATTATCTCCCTTGTTACGCAGTGAGAACATTGCCCTGATGATGAAAGCATGAACATAATCAGGAATAATTATTGGTTACTAGTAACTAAAATATGAATGGAAAATACTTGAACCACAAATTATCTATGACTACATGTACAATGCACATGAACATGTGCAAGAAAAACTGGATGGTCGCCGTACCTATATCTGTCAAAAAGTGGACGAGTTTCATCAAGCAATGTGTTCTGTAACGTATCAGTGTCCAGCACCATGGAGGGTGGGGCAGGATCCACAGACTTATAGGGGTTTGAGCTGAAAAATAGTAGAATGATGTTGTCAATATATACATTATTTACATAATTTATAATGTACACTCTAATGACTTAATATACATGTGAACTATACAAAGAACAAGATTACAATCATTTTAATGTACACATTATTATTTGTGAATAGTGCACAGCAACAAAAAACCTATTGTAAGCTGACCTTAGGTGGTCATTTTCTTGTGAGCACTTCTCTTTCAGCCATTCTATTCTCTGTACAGCGAGCTGACAAGTTTCTGCCACCTGAACAAATAACAAGAGTTACCTAAGTTAGGACTGGTGTGGGAGGATCAAGTTTGTTATATGCTGTCGCCATTTGTACTAAACATAGTATTGTACATGTAGGTAAATGTACCTCTATCTGTGGGTCATTGGCGTACTCTCTCAAGATGTTGAGAACATCAGCAGATCCAATGGCACCAAGTGCCTCACCAGCCTGATGAACACAAGAAAACAGTTTTAATTTTAATTCATTTTTGCTATTATATAATAAATGAATAGTAATAATTCTTTTTACAAGCAGGGTTACTGTCATTGCATGAATATATCTGACTTATAAAATATTATTATTAAATAAAATAATATCATGTGACAATGGGTTTGAAATGTGGGTAGGAGGGAGGTTAAAAACATGTCCATCTGTCGGAAGGGGAAGGTGTGTGTTTTTTTCTGGAGTAACCCATCAATGAAAGTTTCCTGATCCATAGACCAGAGACCAGAGACCAGGATTACCATAGTGCAACAGAAACACAAACAAAAGAGGTGGCAGATGCAAGGTTCAAGTATGTAGTCACCCTTACACTGATTCATCCTTCTGAAAATGGAAGAGCTGTTAAAATTAATAATGAATCATAAATAGTTTATATAACATACCTCATGTCTAACCATGGGTTCTTGATTCTTGTCTTGTAGAACCCTGTAAAATATTTGTCATAATATTTTATAAATAATAATACATATATTTTTATAATTGTCTTCCATAATACATGTAAATTTCCCAAATTATGCCATATATGTTGAGCATGTACACTGAAAAGCAAATTATAGTACTTATAGTCATACAATGTACATAGTGTAATAAAAATATATATTGATGGATAATAGAAATATCAGGTTCACAGAAAAGAAAAACAGTTTTTACCTGATTAATCCTGGAATTGCGTATTCATCCTAAAAAGGAGAAATAATTTAAATTGTTACAGGTGAGTACATCTTTCTAGAAAAAACACAAACTTACTGTTTACAAAACCTGAACCGCGAGAAACAGGAGGAATATAAATTGTATTAAATCTAATTACACTTAAGTATCATGGCATGGTTACCAAGGGGGGAGTAAAGTTTCTAAGATGATACTTTCATGATGATGACACGTTGGCAATGCTCTGGCCATGCATCACAAATAAAAACATGTAAATTTTATAATAATAATAATAATAATAATAATAATAATAATAATAATAATAATACTTTATTCAAATACAGAGTACAAAGAGTATTTGAAAAGGAGGANNGCCGAAGCGGCTCGTGCAATTTCAGCTTTTTGAAAAACTCACTCGTGCAAATTAATTCCAAATTGAACTCGAAACCGTATGATTACCTATACTTATAGTCATACAGTGTACATAGTGTAATAAAAATATATATTGATGGATAATAGAAATATCAGGTTCACAGAAAAGAAAAACAGAATTTACCTGATTAATCCTGGAATTGCATATTCATCCTAAAAAAGGAGAAATAATTTAAATTGTTACAGGTGAGTACATCTTTCTAGAAAAAACACAAACTTACTGTATACAAAACCTGAACCGGGAGAAACAGGAGGAATATAAATTGTATTAAATCTAATTACACTTGAGTATCATGGCATGGTTACAAAGGGGGGAGTAAAGTTTAGATGATACTTTCATGATGATGACACGTTGGCAATGTTCTGGCCATGCATTATAAATAAAAACATGTAAATTTAAAACAATATGTACTGAATTGTGTCAGGAATGCAACCTGGATACCTGCATTTGTCCCAGACAGTACGCCAACTCATGTTTTAATAAAGCTGAGGGGTCATCAAAACCTACATAGACAGAGAAAAATAAATATTAATTAGAAATTAACTAAATATTTTACAACATTTCAGGGACTGTAAATGTTCGAACCTCAGGATGTCAGTTACTGTTCCGCACAATGTAGGTCACGCATAAGTTTAACAGCAATTAAAATGTTGAACTTACACTTAAAAATGCAGTCGATAGCTTCATGTCCACCAAGATTTCTCAGTGTGAACAAAGCACGGAATCTGTCTGTTAATGGTCTGAAATACAAAAGGAGAAGACAATACACCCATAAAAAGCTTGTATCAAGGAATGTAATCCTGTAATCTTCTCCTTAACATCCAGGTTAAAATTAGCCGAAAGTCGAGACTTCCTCGAGGACAACTGATCACCCCATATAAAGTTTTCACAAGTGCTGTTCTCAAAACGTACCGGTTTTGATCCGCGAGTTGAAGTCCTATTTGTTGCACATTTGACGAATTTACCATGGTTTAAACAAGCGAGCATAAATATTGGTGATAAATCGCTAGCAATACTCTAATATCGCCAAAAACGTGGTTCAGGAATCGTTCAGGAAAAATACATTCGGTGCAATAACAGCTGACCACAAAGTACGCGAACTCACTTTTCCGCTGATTTGGGTGATCGCGTATTCACCAGAAATTTGGCGGGAAAAGCGCGCGGCCCGCGTCGGAGACTTTGCTGGACTTCGCCTCTAAAATCTTCAAAGTCTGTTATTACTTTGAAGAAAAAGAAAACAAGAAAATTATAATTTAGACCAGGTCATAACTATCGAATTTATTCTTCTCGTCCAAAAAGTACTCCCAAGACGAGAGGTCATGGCAAACACAAGTAACCAAACGAGTTCCAGTTCTCCAACCTTTAGAGTAGATGTTATTTTCAACTCTCTTCGTGAACTGCAACAAGGTTTGTAAGAGTGAGGCTACCACTTTACATTTTTTGTCGTTTTTATATCTCGCCTAGATCTGGTGTTAACGTAACCTTTTTTTGAATTTATTGTTGTAGAAAAAGAACGCCTAGAACAGCATTGCCATGAAGAGAAAGCTCGCTGTAGAAGTTTGGAAATCAAACTCGACGCCTGTAAGTAAGCTCATTAATTTTCCACATGCATTTGCCCCATTTTGTTTTAAAATTTTCTCCAGGCATAAGCTTACCTAATTTAAGCTTAAACTTAACTTGCGTGTTCATTTGCTTTTCCTCTTTAGGTCAAACAAAATACTATCAGTACAGCGAAAAAAATTGTAAAATGTTGGGTAAGTGCCAGACTAATGTTTTGAAATTTACTTTCTCGAAAAGCTAGTGATTTTAAATCGGATGAATTAAACTTTATAGGCTTCAGTTTAAATTTGATAGAGCAATAAGTTAAAGTCTTTAAAGCTTTTCAGTGTAGAGCGCAGGCTAAATTGAATCTAGTTTTTTTACAATTAGAGCTGACATCAGATAATTAAAAAATTGGCTCACTCTTCAATGCAGTTCGTGCTATTATATCTAGCATATACGCTCTTCATTAACTTCTAAGCTTTTTTTAAAAATCTGTATGTCCCCACGGTCGTACCAATCTATGCCTACTGACAATCAAACATTATCTGATGATTTGAAATCTAAGTGGCTGGGTCAGGCAATCGGTCTTGCGAGTAATTAAAAAACCGACCGGCAGCGCCTATATTTATTGATTAGGTTGGAAAAGTCTTAAGTAACAATCTTAACAATATTAATAAAAAAAATAACGTTCAAGAAAGTAAGTGACAGGAGTTTCTCTTTTTTTAGTTCCACATTTTAGAACTTTCCATTTGATTAAAATATTCAGTTGCAACTGACAAGCCAACAAATAAGGAGGCCTAGACCATGTATTACGCTCTGATATAACAAAACATTTTAGTCAATCATGGCGTCTGCAGAATTCAATTGTATTAGGATTTAAGAAAAAGAGGTTACGTACCATTGATCACTAACTAATTATTAACCGTGAGTAAGGTCTTTACGGGAAAACAGGTAAATCTCAGACCGAGACCTTGCCGTATTGGCCGAGCGATAGCGAGGTCAATACGGCAATTTAATGCCCGTGGGCATTACGGGAGAATAATGCCCTACAATTAGCCAATCAGAGCGCACGTTATATCGGCTAAAAGAACAAGCCATGTGATAATTAACAATAGCCCATATAATAACTAACAAGAACAAGCCATATGATAATTAACGGGTCAATAGCCCATGAGGCGAAGCCGGATGGGCTATTGCCCTTGAGAGCGAAGGGTCTAATTGTTTTAGTATCACCCAACTAGTCGGACAGAAAAGGCAATAATAAAGTTAGCAAATGCAAGTTGAAGAAGTATTTATTTGGGAATAAAACGAAAGACAGTGTGACGCTCGATTGCGCCAATTTCGCTACTCGAGGACTATTACTAATTGTCCTCTAGTAGCATAGCCAATTAAAATGCAGGATTTGCATTAGTCCACTAGTTGGGTGATACTAATTATTCTTACTGTTTAAACTGAAGTCAGTGTTAATAAGTAATTGATGACAATTGACGAGAGACTTGATTTCTTGTTTCAGAAACTGTGAATGCTGCAAAGCAGAAAGTATTGCAGACACAGCTACAAGCTAGCAGGTAATGTTTTAAATATTGCATGGTATGCAAGTTATTTTGATAAGTGTTAGGCAACTCAACGATACAATCAATCGTGTAACTTAATAAAAAAAAAAACAGCTTTTAATGACGAAATCACTTCTAAGACTGAAGTTTAATTCGTGATCGGCGACTAATTAAGTATAGAGCTAAGATACCCTACACAAAAAAAGACTTCCTATTAAGTATTTTGAATTTCCCGCTGCCAGTATAATCATTTGAACCTTTAGGGTACTGAATTACTTGTATCACATCTTGTTGTAATGTGCCATGTGATTTGGCACTGTAAAAATGCACCGAATCGATTTTTTTATATCATTAAAATTGGATAGCAAAGCAATTTCTTTAATTATCCTCGAGGCCGACGCCGGAGAGAGAGATGGTTGAAATCAGACGATATTCGGTAAGATTGAACAGGCTACCTCTTCTATTGTTCAACTAACTGTCAACGGAATGGCATTTTTACTGGGAGATAAAACGTACTGGGTTGTGCAGCCAAAACATCAGCGAGTTTTGAAGGGCGCATTTTCAGTTATGGCAAACTATTATGAATGCCTGTATCTCAGGAGCTGTTATATATACGGATAACAGATATCAAGGACTCAGTAATTTCTGACCACGCTTGTGCTTCGTTAAAATTGTTGCGTAAAAAAAAATGAAAAAAGAAGTACTGCAGCTGAGCTATGTTCATCTTCAATTAATTTTAATCAGGCTAAAAGAGCTGAATGACGGAAAAGGTGCAAGAATCACAGAACTCCGCAAGCAAATTGATGAAGAAATGAGAAAAGAAGAAGAAGAAATGTAAGTTGAACTATAATTTATCCAAGGTTAATCGAATTGCACAGGATCCTCAGCTTTAATTATTGTGGTTTCTTATATATCAAGGACGGAGACCTTTAGTACTTCTCGTATTAATTTCCTAAAAATGGGCCCTTTTATCCGTTCTCGCTGTCAGGATCTCTCACCCTCCTCCCCCTCTCTCGCTTTAGGGGGCTCTGAAGAAGAGAGATCTTTAGGACCGAGGTTTATAATTACCTCGTGTTCTGTTACCATACTATGCCTTTTAAATCATCCATGAAACTTGTGCGAAAGCTAAAATAGTTACTGGTGAAATGAAACTCTTATTAAAAGTTCTGTATGATAAGTGCGTTCTGTGATCCTCATCCAACACAGGCAGGTCTTTCAAAACAAGCTGGCAGAACTTACAAACAACTTTAGGAATGCAAGAAACTATTATGTAAGTTGTCAAATTGCAAGTTGAAAAAAAATCTCGTGGGGGTTGCGACAGTGTGGTGTTGGCGCAGTCTCACCATGATTAGTCGAGGCTGCGGTATAATTCTGCTATGATCTCCTGTGGATATTAAAATTAACATTCTCCACGGTAGTCTAGTTTGTCGCCTACCTCAGCTGAGCGATATCCTTCCCACTGGCCACAATTCGTTAAGTCAGCGCTAAGCAGCGGGACCTACCTCTTTCCAGATTATGATGTTCTATATTGCAGATACCAGATTTAGAGGTTAACATTTGGAACGCAGTGTGATTATAGGGCAAAATACCGGTATTACGTTCTAGTTTGAAGAGTGTTTAGGATAGAATTCAGAGTGGTTTATATCTTATCCTGCAAACTTAGAGCGTTCTCGGTGCTCACCTTGGAAATGAAATGAGAAAACTGGTAAGTGTGATCTTTTGTATTGTGCACAGACGGAGGAAAATGTAAAGAAGGAAATGGAAGAGTGGAGTAAGCAGGCTGACGAAACAAAATCTGAAGGTTAGTACTTAATGTTACGTAAGAGTAGCAAATCTGTCTCTCAGTTTAAAAGAATCGAGTAAAGTAGAAATATTCCTCAGTCATTTAAGACCCAATTACAACGAGCGTCGCGTTCTAACTCTGTATCTATAAGACACTTTGTTTTAGAGACTTCAGACTTCTCGTAATTTCAAGTTCAGGGGCTGGAAATTCCACTGAATTCGTCTTTCATCACTCTGGCCGCAATATTCTCCTGTATACTCTCCTTTTTATTCTTATTAATAAGCAANGATCTTTAGGACCGAGGTTTATAATTACCTCGTGTTCTGTTACCATACTATGCCTTTTAAATCATCCATGGAACTTCTGCGAAAGCTAAAATAGTTACTGCTGAAATGAAACTATTATTAAAAGCTCTTTATGATAAGTGCGTTCTGTGATCCTCATCCAACACAGTCAGATCTTTCAAAACAAGCTGGCAGAACTTACAAGCAACTTCAGGAATGCAAGAAACTATTATGTAAGTTGTCAAATTGCAAGTTTAAAAAAATCTCGTAGGGGCTGCGACAGTATGGTGTTGGCGCAGTCTCACCATGATTAGTCGAGGCTGCATGGTATAATTCTGCGATGATCTTCTGTTGGTACTAAAATTAACATTCTCCATGGCAGACTAGTTTGTCGCGTACCTCAGCTGAGCGATATCCTTCCCACGGGCCACGATACATTAAGTCAGCGCTAAGCATCGTGACCTAACTCTTTCCAGATTTTGATGCTCTATATTGCAGATACTAGATTTAGAGGTTAACATTTGGAACGCAGTGTGATTATGGGGCAAAATACCGATATTAAGTTCTAGTTTGTAGGGTGTTTAGGTTAGAATTCAGAGTGGTTTTGATTTTATCCTGCAAACTTAGAGCGTTCTCGGTGCTCACCTTGGAAATGAAATGAGAAAACTGATAAGTGTGATCTTTTGTATTTTGCACAGACGGAGGAAAATGTAAAGAAGGAAATGGAAGAGTGGAGTAAGCAGGCTGAAGAAACAAAATCTGAAGGTTGGTACTACTTAATGTTACATAAGAGTAGCAAATCTGTCCCTCAGTTTAAAAGAATCGCGGAAAGTAGAAATATTCCTCAGTCATTTAAGACCCCATTACAACGAGCGTCACGTTCTAACTCTGTATCTATAAGACACTTTGTCTCAGAGACTTCAGACTTCTCGTAGTTTCAAGTTCAGGGGCTGGAAATTCCACTGAATTTGTCTTTCATCATTCTGGCCGCAATCTTCTCCTGTATACTCTCCTTTTTATTCTTATTAATAAGCAAGAGTTATTTGAAATATCACCGAAAAAAACTCCATCTGTTAAGCAGTCAAAATGTAGGATGAGGGAAATTATCCATCACATAATAGAAGCAAAATATCAGATATTTCATGTGGACAATAACAGACTCCACTAACGTTTTTAGTTTCTAAAGAGGACATTGCTTTGAAGGAACTGAGTGCCAAGTTTCATCAGTTAGAGATGGAAACCAAAAGTGCAAAAGGTTTGTAACAGATCTTCTAACAGAGGCACATTAAATTTATTTTGTAACTATCTCTTCTTTAATTACTTTTAGTGTAGAGTTAAACGATAACTATCTTGCTGAAATTATTTTAGCTATAAGTTCATGAATAATTTGAGATACGTAGGCATTATGGCCAGCATGTGGGACACGGACCGAGAGCACTGGCCGAGTTACCATCGACAGCATATATAATTCACGACCACAGCACAATATATATGGAACTCATTTATAGTTTAACCGATGGAAGTATCATTTAACTACAATAAGGCCACTTGTATTCCTAAAACCAGCAATCTGAGATATCTTCCGCATAAAACTACTTCCTCTTTTAGGTGAACTTAACCGCAAACTGGAGTTTGATGTGACTGCAAAAGAACTGCAAACGGCTTTGTAAGTACCTAGCCCACTTTCACTCTTCCTTTTGTGCGTATTCATCTTTCAGTCTGGAAAATGGACTTTTTCTTAACGTTGCTTGATGCAATTACTGAAGCACTGATCTTTAACGTGCTCATTCATTTTGTTTTGTTTTGTTTTGTTTTGTTTGTATACTGTGTGTGCAATGTAAGGGGCAATTCCCTCTATGAGACCTGCCTGCAAGGAATCATGGTAGTTGTATTCATCATCTTGGATTGGATATTTGTTTCCATGAATGCAGCTATCATGATTCGATGCAGGTACGTCTCATAGAGGCAATTGGCCATTCAACAGATGAAAGTATGGGCATTTGTTATGACGTAATAGTCGTCACAAAGTTGCATTGAAGTTTTACAGCAAAAGGGGCAGTGAAAACGGTTTTGTAACTTTATCGTTACAAATGAAAATAAACGCTATACTTAAATTTTAGGACGGTTTTTGAGGAAGTGAATCAGGAAGCGAAAGGGAAGCTAGAAATATCTGAGGAGGCACTGGTGGAGGAGCTGGAAAGGTAACCAATATTAATATGTATCTCATGGAAAAGGTTATTTCAACACGAAAGATGCTTAAGATCTAGTAACAGCATTCAGTTAGAGAGATCTTTAATTAATAATACTCTACAGGACCAGACTGCAAGTTAATTTAACACGTTGCCCAGCAACGTGAGGTGCTGCCAAGACAATATTAAATTTTGTAAAGACACCAAAAACATTATTTTTAAGAGAGTTTTAGAACATCTGGCATAATTTTAATGATTTATTTATTCATTTATTTATTTTAGCATATCTTAAAACACAATTTTATCTCGTTTACATATAGATATAAATTTTTTNTACAAGCTAGCAGGTAATGTTTTAAATATTGCATGGTATGCAAGTTATTTTGATAAGTGTTAGGCAACTCAACGATACAATCAATCGTGTAACTTAATAAAAAAAAAAACAGCTTTTAATGACGAAATCACTTCTAAGACTGAAGTTTAATTCGTGATCGGCGACTAATTAAGTATAGAGCTAAGATACCCTACACAAAAAAAGACTTCCTATTAAGTATTTTGAATTTCCCGCTGCCAGTATAATCATTTGAACCTTTAGGGTACTGAATTACTTGTATCACATCTTGTTGTAATGTGCCATGTGATTTGGCACTGTAAAAATGCACCGAATCGATTTTTTTATATCATTAAAATTGGATAGCAAAGCAATTTCTTTAATTATCCTCGAGGCCGACGCCGGAGAGAGAGATGGTTGAAATCAGACGATATTCGGTAAGATTGAACAGGCTACCTCTTCTATTGTTCAACTAACTGTCAACGGAATGGCATTTTTACTGGGAGATAAAACGTACTGGGTTGTGCAGCCAAAACATCAGCGAGTTTTGAAGGGCGCATTTTCAGTTATGGCAAACTATTATGAATGCCTGTATCTCAGGAGCTGTTATATATACGGATAACAGATATCAAGGACTCAGTAATTTCTGACCACGCTTGTGCTTCGTTAAAATTGTTGCGTAAAAAAAAATGAAAAAAGAAGTACTGCAGCTGAGCTATGTTCATCTTCAATTAATTTTAATCAGGCTAAAAGAGCTGAATGACGGAAAAGGTGCAAGAATCACAGAACTCCGCAAGCAAATTGATGAAGAAATGAGAAAAGAAGAAGAAGAAATGTAAGTTGAACTATAATTTATCCAAGGTTAATCGAATTGCACAGGATCCTCAGCTTTAATTATTGTGGTTTCTTATATATCAAGGACGGAGACCTTTAGTACTTCTCGTATTAATTTCCTAAAAATGGGCCCTTTTATCCGTTCTCGCTGTCAGGATCTCTCACCCTCCTCCCCCTCTCTCGCTTTAGGGGGCTCTGAAGAAGAGAGATCTTTAGGACCGAGGTTTATAATTACCTCGTGTTCTGTTACCATACTATGCCTTTTAAATCATCCATGAAACTTGTGCGAAAGCTAAAATAGTTACTGGTGAAATGAAACTCTTATTAAAAGTTCTGTATGATAAGTGCGTTCTGTGATCCTCATCCAACACAGGCAGGTCTTTCAAAACAAGCTGGCAGAACTTACAAACAACTTTAGGAATGCAAGAAACTATTATGTAAGTTGTCAAATTGCAAGTTGAAAAAAAATCTCGTGGGGGTTGCGACAGTGTGGTGTTGGCGCAGTCTCACCATGATTAGTCGAGGCTGCGGTATAATTCTGCTATGATCTCCTGTGGATATTAAAATTAACATTCTCCACGGTAGTCTAGTTTGTCGCCTACCTCAGCTGAGCGATATCCTTCCCACTGGCCACAATTCGTTAAGTCAGCGCTAAGCAGCGGGACCTACCTCTTTCCAGATTATGATGTTCTATATTGCAGATACCAGATTTAGAGGTTAACATTTGGAACGCAGTGTGATTATAGGGCAAAATACCGGTATTACGTTCTAGTTTGAAGAGTGTTTAGGATAGAATTCAGAGTGGTTTATATCTTATCCTGCAAACTTAGAGCGTTCTCGGTGCTCACCTTGGAAATGAAATGAGAAAACTGGTAAGTGTGATCTTTTGTATTGTGCACAGACGGAGGAAAATGTAAAGAAGGAAATGGAAGAGTGGAGTAAGCAGGCTGACGAAACAAAATCTGAAGGTTAGTACTTAATGTTACGTAAGAGTAGCAAATCTGTCTCTCAGTTTAAAAGAATCGAGTAAAGTAGAAATATTCCTCAGTCATTTAAGACCCAATTACAACGAGCGTCGCGTTCTAACTCTGTATCTATAAGACACTTTGTTTTAGAGACTTCAGACTTCTCGTAATTTCAAGTTCAGGGGCTGGAAATTCCACTGAATTCGTCTTTCATCACTCTGGCCGCAATATTCTCCTGTATACTCTCCTTTTTATTCTTATTAATAAGCAAGAGTTATTTGAAATATCACCGAAAAACTCCATCCGGTAAACAGTCAAAATGTAGGATGAGGAAAATTATCCATCACAATAACAGACTACACTAACGTTTTCAGTTTCTAAAGAGGACATCGCTTTGAAGGAACTGAGTGCCAAGTTTCATCAGTTAGAGATGGAAACCAAAAATGCAAAAGGTTTGTATGGAACTTCTACCAGAGGCACATTAATTTATTTTGTAACTATCTCTTCTTTAATTACTTTTAGTTTACAGTTAAACGATAACTATTTTGCTGAAATTATTTTAGCTATAAGTTCATGAATAATTTGAGATACGTAGGCATTATGGCCAGCATGCGGGACACCGGACCGGGAGCACTGGCGGAGTTACCATCGACAGCATATATAATCCACGACCACAGCACAAAATGGATCATCATTTATAGTTTAACCGGTGGAAGTATCATTTCACTACAATAAGGTCACTTGTATTCCTAAAACCAGCAATTTGAGATATCTTCCGCATAAAACTACTTCCTCTTTCAGATGAACTTAACCGCAAACTGGAGTTTGATGTGACTGCGAAAGAACTGCAAACGGCTTTGTAAGTACCTAGCTCACTTTCACTCTTCCTCTTTTACGTATACACCTTTCAGTCTGGAAAATGTGACTTTTTCTTAACGTTGCTTGATACAGTTACTGCAGGACTGATCTTTAATGTGCTCATTCATTTTGCTTTGTTTTGCTTGTTCGTTTGTTTGTTTTTTGTATACTGTGTGTGCAATGTAATGGACAATTTTCTCTATGAGACGTGCCTGCAGGGAATCATGGTAGTTGTATTCATCATCTTGCATAGGATGTTTGCTTCCATGAATGCAACTATCATGATTAGCTATAGATACGTCTCTTAGAGGGAACTGGCCATTCAACAGCTGAAAGTATAGGCATTTGTTGTGATGTAATACTCGTCACAAAGTTGCATTAATGTTTTACAGCAAAAGAGGCAGTGAAAATGATTTTGTAACTTTACAAATGAAAATAGACGCTATACTTAAATTTTAGGACGGTTTTTGAGGAAGTGAATCAGGAGGCGAAAGGAAAGCTAGAAATATCTGAGGAGGAACTGGTGGAGAAGCTGGAAAGGTAACCAATATTAACATATCTCATGCACAAGGTTAAACAAAACAGATAACTTAAGTTGCTGCACTAATTTAAATTAATGATAGAAGAACTTGACGGCCATTATAAGAAATTGAAACTACAAGTGACAAAGAAAAGAGTATTCACGTTAGTAGTCAAAAATACTGACGAAATAAATAAAAGCCTTCATCAAGCGCGAAATGTTTGGGTGGACATTCTCAATTCATAAAACAGAACAGTTTTCTGAAAGTGACGCTAGAGTAAAACTATAAGCTCTGTGGATGATAACTGTTCCAGGTATTCGATTAGTCGTGGAGCAATGCAAAAACGGCGAATCACTCGATATCCACCTTTCTTTATGTTCCCCACTTCTCCTCCCCTCCCTTTTAAAATCTTTTTCCCCTCTCCTTTTTGTCCGCCCCCTTTTTGGTCTTTTTCCCCTTTTTGTCCTCCCCTTTTTGGTACTTTCAGTTCCATTCAGTTTGTCTTTTTCTTTCCCGCCATTTTTCCGGCTGCTCCACTACTAATTATACATTAACTGAACGCCTTGAACAGGCTCTGTGACCGGTGACACCTGTACTATTTATTATTCTAATTTTTTTTTTTTGACACAGAAGCTAAGGTCAGCCCTGTAGACCTTGGAGATCTCGACCAAGCTGTCAAACAGCAAAATAATTCCGCTGATGTTCGGTAGTCTTGTTAGTCTGTTCAAAAGCTTCAAATCTAACTACCGTTTAGTTCTACTCATGATATCAATTTGCTGACGGACTGACAGTTTGGACTCAAAACGTAAACTTTGGTGTTTGGATTTCTGATTGATTTGTAACGATTGGTACACTCATTATTTCTGCTCTGAGTACTTATACATGGCACGTGTTACTTTTACAATCTCTTAAGTTTTGACTGAAAAACAAATGTGTAATTAAGTCTTTATATTGCAGAATCAAGCAAACGAACAACGAATATGACAGAAGAGACGCCATTTCATTCTGCCCAAACGAGGTAATAAACGGACCGAAAACTAATTGTGCAACGAAACTTCTGTGAAGTGATTTGATTATTATTCAACGGCAGATCACATCGAACGAAGCCGACGCAACAAGCAATAATGATGCTATACAACCAAGTGCATTTCCGTTGGTTTCTGCTGACTCTGTTCCACATGTCGCCGCGAACCTAGCTGATGGTTACGAGCAGCCCAATATTGTCAGCCGTCAGTACTTCAGCACTGAGAGTCCTTCTCTTATACCAGGTTCAAAAGGTAAACCTGTCCAGTTATTTTGATTTTTAAGCTTTCACTCGCAACTTACCTGTAACTTTTACGTTTTTAATAGTAAGTAGTGCATTTGAAAACGTGATTTCTTTCCACTCTATCGGGTAAAAAGAATAGAAGAATATTGATAATGACTAAACAAATCATCACTAGAAGAGGAGAACTTACAGGATGTCCTTAATAATGACACCACGCTCCATTGAATGTTGGTATGTGTTGTTGTCAAAACATCTCATCCAAAACTGACTTGTAGAGGAAAGATAAGAGGGTTAGGATATTTATTATTTATACCATGCCATAGAAAATACAGCCAATCAGAGTAAAGGAAAGCCGTCGCCTTCCCATCGTGCGTCGCGCGTATGTCGCATTGATAGTGTTGGCCACTGTATTTTCTATAGCATGGTATAACGTAGTTATGCAACGCTCTCTTGTCATATACCATGGGATATCCCACTTGTCGCTTGTATTTTCTTGGTATACACACTTGCCTAAAGGCTCGTGTGTATACCGAGAATACAGCTCAAAAACATTACATAACTAGTATTTATTCATGGTTGAAAATATGTATCTCTTCACAGAGGGAACTGATCATCAGGTACATTTACAATCAGGAGGAAGAAGGTCATCTTTGCAAGGAAGGTCTTTTTTTATTTCTCTACCTGTTTCCTCAAATAACTAATGTCAGTGCGCGTTGAAGTTTCTCAAATCGTTATGCTACTTACTACACGGGAAAGTTCTAATTAAGTTAAATTGGAAATTACGTGTATTAAATCAACTTCTTTAAACTTTCAGTCATGGCAGTGATATATTACAAGTGAGAGTGAGGAAGTGTAACCTTATCCCCTAAAACAAACTAGAATTAATCAACAAACGTTATCATGTCAATAGCACAAATGCTTGCTGCCTGAAACTAGAGCTGGACACCAAATGCTTTGAGCTTTTGAGGCATTGTCGTCAGAGCAAAACCGAAAAACAAAACGAAAATTAAAAAACACCCAAAAATCCCAAAATTCCAAAATCGTTTGTAGTGATTTGATGTTAGATCGAATAGTTGAATGGCCGAATTTTGGATCTACTACTTTTGGATAAGAGACACCCATTACTAGACGATATCAAACAAAGGCACCCTGTATTTCATCGTAGATTGATTCGAAAGTGATTCATGACCACGGTGTTGGTATAGGTCAACTGAGGAGAGCAATTCGTGCGTAAGTTGCTTTCCATGATTCACCTATATTTTGCAGGCCTTGATATTCACATCTGAAAACTAAACTAATTATTTGATCTTTTGAGGTAAGTAGCCAGTCAGAACGCTGGAAAGCCGTTGCATATCGGGCAGTGTACCACGGGCCCTATTCCAGTTAAGTTTCCCGGCGGCGTTCGTTTTGATATACATCAGTGGTCTGAATCCAAAATAAACATAAAAATGTGTTCAGGATTGGTAAATTTGAGAAGTCTTAGAAAAACTTTGGAAATGTACAGACTGAAAATGATCTTTATAAAATATTTGGAGAATTTTTTAAAAAGTTCTCGGAAAAGAGATGGGGATCTTCGGCAAACAGTAAGAAATCGACGTTTCTCCTTGTACTGTTGCCAGTCTTCTGTACGGTTCAGGTAATATAGTTATGTGATGCATTTCCGTCGTATACGCGGTGAACAGTGACAATCCGTGGGATTGTCATTCAAAGAAAACTACCACCAGTCAGAAGTGTTCCCTTCTGGGGTAGGGGTGGGGGGATGCCTGTTTACCCTCTTACAGTCAACTAAATATTAGCAGTATTGAGTACTTTAGCTTAATCTGCTAAGGTCGAAAGCAGGTAATTTGGCTCTTCAACATTTTAAACCAAGAAAAATAAGAGCCGGTATCTGGTGAACATAAGAGCTATGTTTTGGTACCTTCAAACTAGATTTCATGAAAGAAACATTAACTCCGGAACAAAAGTTGTAATTCATTCCGATGTTGTTAGCAACGTAGCTACCCTGTAGCATTCTTACAGCGGCAGTATAATTTACACCCGCTTGTAAATAGATGTGTCGTGAAAAATACACCTCAAATGTTTCCTTGCTAGAAAATCTGTTGTTGTAGGTTAGAGATTTACTGGCAATGGAAGTATTTCCTTCGTACAGCTGAATTGTGATGTTGTAGTGAGCAAATAACCTTCGATCATTCCACAGTCGGTAGCCGCGTAAGATTATATTACTGCTGGTCTGAAAATCGATGGCTTCAACCGAGGAACTTCTCGACCCGTATCTGTATCCAACATTTGGAATCTTGTCTCTGGAGCGCCAACAGCTGCAATCCACTATAGAAAAAAAGTTGACCATTAGGGTTAGGACACTCGAGCCGTGAACAATTGACATGTTTACAGTTTTTTGGCGACCAGAGAATGAAAAACGATCAATACTTTTGTTAATATGAAGAACCCTCATTTTACCGATGTCAAGTGTCATGGTTTGAATATGCTCGTTGTTGAAGGGTGAGAGGGGCTGGTGTTTCGATTGATGCAAGAAGAGAGAAGATTGGGAGCATGGAAAGAAAAGGAGCGCCTGTAGCAATCTTTATCATACTTTCCAGAAAACCGAGAACTGATAGAGCACGAGGAAAAGAGTAGAGAGGAAAGTGAGTAAAATTAATTTGAAATGACGAAGGTAGCAAGTTAGCATGCACATGAAACGCAATTTGTTTTGATTTCGCCTGACTTAAAACACTCAGTAAACAATACTAACCTCCTTTCTGCACCACCAGGTTCATCCTGGTCTTCTTTAAACCCATAGAGTTCATCACAACACACTCGTACAATCCACTGTCGGTGGCACTCAGGTTTGTTATTTTGAGGTTTCCATCCCTTACTTCAGTCCTGGCCAAAGGAAACGGCTGAAGAAGTCGACTCCAGTTTGCAAATGGAGTTGGGAAACCTTCTGCTTGGCAAGTTTCAGTGAAGTCCGTGCTTTCGAAAGGCATGACTAGTGCTGGAGGTTTCTTGGTGAAGATAGGTGCCGCTAAATCGAAAACAAAACTTCATGATCATTGGATTTAGTTTTCATACGAACAGCCCACACCATTTTTGAATATATTTGATATTTTCAATTGCAATGAGGCCGCCCTTGATTCAAAGTGAAAGAATTTGGGCCTGCATGTGGCTGACAATCGTTTTTGCTTTTGGGCCAGTTAATTCATCTCGCCTTCCAAATCACTATTCGGAAAATCTATTTAGAAATCCTCATTGTCTTACCTCTCAAAAGACGTATTGGACTGAGAAATTTTTGGAGACATGCCAGAGATAGCTGGTTGAGCTTATAAATTTGTTTTGATATCCGACCCGACAGTATAAACCAGAGGGCCTAAAACAGCGTTTAGGCTGTATAATCTAACGCATCCTGACGACCAAATAACTTCATTTTGGGAAACCATCATTCTATTTGGGATAATCGCTTCATCTGTTCAGGGTTAGCTCAGGATAAACATTAAATATCTGTAGTTTGAGTCATCTTACCTCGAACAGTCAGGTTGCTAAAGGCTTCAGCTGATCCCAGAGCACTTGTAGCCAGGCATGAGTACAACCCAGCATCACTGAAATTCAGCTGTTTAATAGTCAGTATTCCTTCTTCAATGGAGTACTTTAATCCCGGCGAAAGTATCTCATTTTCAAATTTCCATTCAATCCTTGGCGTAGGATTTCCACTGACTGTGCAATTGAAAGTCGTGTTTTGTTCTTCGTCGACTGTGTTCTCACCTGGCAGTAAAACGGTTTGCGGCGCAGATATTGATTTTCCGGGTATCCCAGGGGGTCCCGGCACACCCGTCGGTCCAGGACTGCCTCTATCCCCCTTTTCTCCTCTTCGTCCCGGAGGTCCTGTTTCTCCCTGTTCTCCTCGTTCTCCGGATATTCCGGTGGCACCATGGGGTCCTTGCGAGCCCATTTCTCCTTTTATTCCCCTCGGTCCGGTAGGTCCGGTCATTCCTGGTTTTCCGTATTTACCAGGAGGTCCCATGATACCTTGAGTCCCAGTCTTCCCTCTTGTCCCCTTTGGCCCCCTCCTGCCACGAGACCCTTTGGAACCTCTAGGACCAGGACGTCCAGGGGGACCAGCAGGACATACCCTAGCGTTCGATCTGCAGTATTCATTCGGAATGAATCTCCCCAATTGAAAAGAAATCTCACGGCGTATGTCTTCGGTTGAAAATCCCCCTCTTGTCGCATTGGCAGTGGCATCCCTTCGGGATCTGTGATCAAGACTGCTAGAAAGCTCTTCAACAGCATCTGACAAGTGAAAAAAAAANCGAAATAAATAAAAGCCTTCATCAAGCGCGAAATGTTTGGGTGGACATTCTCAATTCATAAAACAGAACAGTTTTCTGAAAGTGACGCTAGAGTAAAACTATAAGCTCTGTGGATGATAACTGTTCCAGGTATTCGATTAGTCGTGGAGCAATGCAAAAACGGCGAATCACTCGATATCCACCTTTCTTTATGTTCCCCACTTCTCCTCCCCTCCCTTTTAAAATCTTTTTCCCCTCTCCTTTTTGTCCGCCCCCTTTTTGGTCTTTTTCCCCTTTTTGTCCTCCCCTTTTTGGTACTTTCAGTTCCATTCAGTTTGTCTTTTTCTTTCCCGCCATTTTTCCGGCTGCTCCACTACTAATTATACATTAACTGAACGCCTTGAACAGGCTCTGTGACCGGTGACACCTGTACTATTTATTATTCTAATTTTTTTTTTTTGACACAGAAGCTAAGGTCAGCCCTGTAGACCTTGGAGATCTCGACCAAGCTGTCAAACAGCAAAATAATTCCGCTGATGTTCGGTAGTCTTGTTAGTCTGTTCAAAAGCTTCAAATCTAACTACCGTTTAGTTCTACTCATGATATCAATTTGCTGACGGACTGACAGTTTGGACTCAAAACGTAAACTTTGGTGTTTGGATTTCTGATTGATTTGTAACGATTGGTACACTCATTATTTCTGCTCTGAGTACTTATACATGGCACGTGTTACTTTTACAATCTCTTAAGTTTTGACTGAAAAACAAATGTGTAATTAAGTCTTTATATTGCAGAATCAAGCAAACGAACAACGAATATGACAGAAGAGACGCCATTTCATTCTGCCCAAACGAGGTAATAAACGGACCGAAAACTAATTGTGCAACGAAACTTCTGTGAAGTGATTTGATTATTATTCAACGGCAGATCACATCGAACGAAGCCGACGCAACAAGCAATAATGATGCTATACAACCAAGTGCATTTCCGTTGGTTTCTGCTGACTCTGTTCCACATGTCGCCGCGAACCTAGCTGATGGTTACGAGCAGCCCAATATTGTCAGCCGTCAGTACTTCAGCACTGAGAGTCCTTCTCTTATACCAGGTTCAAAAGGTAAACCTGTCCAGTTATTTTGATTTTTAAGCTTTCACTCGCAACTTACCTGTAACTTTTACGTTTTTAATAGTAAGTAGTGCATTTGAAAACGTGATTTCTTTCCACTCTATCGGGTAAAAAGAATAGAAGAATATTGATAATGACTAAACAAATCATCACTAGAAGAGGAGAACTTACAGGATGTCCTTAATAATGACACCACGCTCCATTGAATGTTGGTATGTGTTGTTGTCAAAACATCTCATCCAAAACTGACTTGTAGAGGAAAGATAAGAGGGTTAGGATATTTATTATTTATACCATGCCATAGAAAATACAGCCAATCAGAGTAAAGGAAAGCCGTCGCCTTCCCATCGTGCGTCGCGCGTATGTCGCATTGATAGTGTTGGCCACTGTATTTTCTATAGCATGGTATAACGTAGTTATGCAACGCTCTCTTGTCATATACCATGGGATATCCCACTTGTCGCTTGTATTTTCTTGGTATACACACTTGCCTAAAGGCTCGTGTGTATACCGAGAATACAGCTCAAAAACATTACATAACTAGTATTTATTCATGGTTGAAAATATGTATCTCTTCACAGAGGGAACTGATCATCAGGTACATTTACAATCAGGAGGAAGAAGGTCATCTTTGCAAGGAAGGTCTTTTTTTATTTCTCTACCTGTTTCCTCAAATAACTAATGTCAGTGCGCGTTGAAGTTTCTCAAATCGTTATGCTACTTACTACACGGGAAAGTTCTAATTAAGTTAAATTGGAAATTACGTGTATTAAATCAACTTCTTTAAACTTTCAGTCATGGCAGTGATATATTACAAGTGAGAGTGAGGAAGTGTAACCTTATCCCCTAAAACAAACTAGAATTAATCAACAAACGTTATCATGTCAATAGCACAAATGCTTGCTGCCTGAAACTAGAGCTGGACACCAAATGCTTTGAGCTTTTGAGGCATTGTCGTCAGAGCAAAACCGAAAAACAAAACGAAAATTAAAAAACACCCAAAAATCCCAAAATTCCAAAATCGTTTGTAGTGATTTGATGTTAGATCGAATAGTTGAATGGCCGAATTTTGGATCTACTACTTTTGGATAAGAGACACCCATTACTAGACGATATCAAACAAAGGCACCCTGTATTTCATCGTAGATTGATTCGAAAGTGATTCATGACCACGGTGTTGGTATAGGTCAACTGAGGAGAGCAATTCGTGCGTAAGTTGCTTTCCATGATTCACCTATATTTTGCAGGCCTTGATATTCACATCTGAAAACTAAACTAATTATTTGATCTTTTGAGGTAAGTAGCCAGTCAGAACGCTGGAAAGCCGTTGCATATCGGGCAGTGTACCACGGGCCCTATTCCAGTTAAGTTTCCCGGCGGCGTTCGTTTTGATATACATCAGTGGTCTGAATCCAAAATAAACATAAAAATGTGTTCAGGATTGGTAAATTTGAGAAGTCTTAGAAAAACTTTGGAAATGTACAGACTGAAAATGATCTTTATAAAATATTTGGAGAATTTTTTAAAAAGTTCTCGGAAAAGAGATGGGGATCTTCGGCAAACAGTAAGAAATCGACGTTTCTCCTTGTACTGTTGCCAGTCTTCTGTACGGTTCAGGTAATATAGTTATGTGATGCATTTCCGTCGTATACGCGGTGAACAGTGACAATCCGTGGGATTGTCATTCAAAGAAAACTACCACCAGTCAGAAGTGTTCCCTTCTGGGGTAGGGGTGGGGGGATGCCTGTTTACCCTCTTACAGTCAACTAAATATTAGCAGTATTGAGTACTTTAGCTTAATCTGCTAAGGTCGAAAGCAGGTAATTTGGCTCTTCAACATTTTAAACCAAGAAAAATAAGAGCCGGTATCTGGTGAACATAAGAGCTATGTTTTGGTACCTTCAAACTAGATTTCATGAAAGAAACATTAACTCCGGAACAAAAGTTGTAATTCATTCCGATGTTGTTAGCAACGTAGCTACCCTGTAGCATTCTTACAGCGGCAGTATAATTTACACCCGCTTGTAAATAGATGTGTCGTGAAAAATACACCTCAAATGTTTCCTTGCTAGAAAATCTGTTGTTGTAGGTTAGAGATTTACTGGCAATGGAAGTATTTCCTTCGTACAGCTGAATTGTGATGTTGTAGTGAGCAAATAACCTTCGATCATTCCACAGTCGGTAGCCGCGTAAGATTATATTACTGCTGGTCTGAAAATCGATGGCTTCAACCGAGGAACTTCTCGACCCGTATCTGTATCCAACATTTGGAATCTTGTCTCTGGAGCGCCAACAGCTGCAATCCACTATAGAAAAAAAGTTGACCATTAGGGTTAGGACACTCGAGCCGTGAACAATTGACATGTTTACAGTTTTTTGGCGACCAGAGAATGAAAAACGATCAATACTTTTGTTAATATGAAGAACCCTCATTTTACCGATGTCAAGTGTCATGGTTTGAATATGCTCGTTGTTGAAGGGTGAGAGGGGCTGGTGTTTCGATTGATGCAAGAAGAGAGAAGATTGGGAGCATGGAAAGAAAAGGAGCGCCTGTAGCAATCTTTATCATACTTTCCAGAAAACCGAGAACTGATAGAGCACGAGGAAAAGAGTAGAGAGGAAAGTGAGTAAAATTAATTTGAAATGACGAAGGTAGCAAGTTAGCATGCACATGAAACGCAATTTGTTTTGATTTCGCCTGACTTAAAACACTCAGTAAACAATACTAACCTCCTTTCTGCACCACCAGGTTCATCCTGGTCTTCTTTAAACCCATAGAGTTCATCACAACACACTCGTACAATCCACTGTCGGTGGCACTCAGGTTTGTTATTTTGAGGTTTCCATCCCTTACTTCAGTCCTGGCCAAAGGAAACGGCTGAAGAAGTCGACTCCAGTTTGCAAATGGAGTTGGGAAACCTTCTGCTTGGCAAGTTTCAGTGAAGTCCGTGCTTTCGAAAGGCATGACTAGTGCTGGAGGTTTCTTGGTGAAGATAGGTGCCGCTAAATCGAAAACAAAACTTCATGATCATTGGATTTAGTTTTCATACGAACAGCCCACACCATTTTTGAATATATTTGATATTTTCAATTGCAATGAGGCCGCCCTTGATTCAAAGTGAAAGAATTTGGGCCTGCATGTGGCTGACAATCGTTTTTGCTTTTGGGCCAGTTAATTCATCTCGCCTTCCAAATCACTATTCGGAAAATCTATTTAGAAATCCTCATTGTCTTACCTCTCAAAAGACGTATTGGACTGAGAAATTTTTGGAGACATGCCAGAGATAGCTGGTTGAGCTTATAAATTTGTTTTGATATCCGACCCGACAGTATAAACCAGAGGGCCTAAAACAGCGTTTAGGCTGTATAATCTAACGCATCCTGACGACCAAATAACTTCATTTTGGGAAACCATCATTCTATTTGGGATAATCGCTTCATCTGTTCAGGGTTAGCTCAGGATAAACATTAAATATCTGTAGTTTGAGTCATCTTACCTCGAACAGTCAGGTTGCTAAAGGCTTCAGCTGATCCCAGAGCACTTGTAGCCAGGCATGAGTACAACCCAGCATCACTGAAATTCAGCTGTTTAATAGTCAGTATTCCTTCTTCAATGGAGTACTTTAATCCCGGCGAAAGTATCTCATTTTCAAATTTCCATTCAATCCTTGGCGTAGGATTTCCACTGACTGTGCAATTGAAAGTCGTGTTTTGTTCTTCGTCGACTGTGTTCTCACCTGGCAGTAAAACGGTTTGCGGCGCAGATATTGATTTTCCGGGTATCCCAGGGGGTCCCGGCACACCCGTCGGTCCAGGACTGCCTCTATCCCCCTTTTCTCCTCTTCGTCCCGGAGGTCCTGTTTCTCCCTGTTCTCCTCGTTCTCCGGATATTCCGGTGGCACCATGGGGTCCTTGCGAGCCCATTTCTCCTTTTATTCCCCTCGGTCCGGTAGGTCCGGTCATTCCTGGTTTTCCGTATTTACCAGGAGGTCCCATGATACCTTGAGTCCCAGTCTTCCCTCTTGTCCCCTTTGGCCCCCTCCTGCCACGAGACCCTTTGGAACCTCTAGGACCAGGACGTCCAGGGGGACCAGCAGGACATACCCTAGCGTTCGATCTGCAGTATTCATTCGGAATGAATCTCCCCAATTGAAAAGAAATCTCACGGCGTATGTCTTCGGTTGAAAATCCCCCTCTTGTCGCATTGGCAGTGGCATCCCTTCGGGATCTGTGATCAAGACTGCTAGAAAGCTCTTCAACAGCATCTGACAAGTGAAAAAAAAAATCGATAAATATTTTATACTCACACGTTCCGTTTGCAAACCAACTGAAACCTATTTTAACAGCATGAAACCTTGCATTTACTCTGTGACGAGTCGGTGAATAAATGAATGAATGAATGAATGAATAGCCTTTATTTTATTTCGGTGAAGGGCTAAGATGGCATAGGTAGCCGAGAACCATCAGGTGGCTAAATCATTCTCACTTATCCGTCAAACAAGTCGAAATTCTAACTAACGAGTGGTGTCTCGACATTTTAACTTGGCAGATAACATTTTTATTTCGTAAACTAACAGACTGTGTCATGACCCCCCCCCCCCCTCCTTTCCCGAGGTGAAGTACTCCTAGAAAAATTGGGTAGGGGAGTGCGGCCCGCCTACCAAAGCCCTTACCCTATTTATGACCAAAATCTACGATTTTCCCTACCCTATTAATGACCTGACCAAAAATACGATACCCTGTCTCAGACCTGCCTTATAATCAGTTATCTAGTTCAGACCGATGTTAAAGACATTGTGAAGGGCTTTTGTTGATGGTCTTATCAATAATGATGAAAAATTAGCTTCTTTTAGAAAAACATATCCAGTTCAAGACTAGAGTGCAAAAAACCATACCCTATTTATGACCAAAATGGCCAAAATCGATACCCTATTCAAGACCAAAACGGCTGAAAAACCATACCCTTTGGGTCGCACATACCTATATAGCCCATATAAGGGAGTACCCCACCCTTCCGTGTGACACCATTTCTGACTGCTAACAAATTGGGTAAAATATTCCCTCGCGACCAATTAATGACCCTGGCCCTCTCTGCTATCAACTTAAAACCAGTTAACGCTAATCCAGGATTACAAGTTTATCAAGTTAGTAAGTAAGTAAATAAGTAAAACCTTTATTTAAGTGCATAAAAGTGAAATTAAAATTTAGGCTTAACCCTAGGCTAACCTAATCGCGCTTTCTATAGCCCAGGAGAGCACTGTGTGATATCATAGGCACTATATATGTGATATCATAGGCTTGCCGGCTTTCTAGACTGGGAGCTTTTCATAGCATCTGTTTCGAGTGACAGGATCATTCACGTTGCCATCAACATCTTGATGGCAGCTTGTCAGTTTTGCTGGGACTCAACCCGGGGGGACTCCCATATAAAAGGGACGGGGGTGGTCGGCGGAAATTTTGAAAAAAACAAAAAAAACCCTAACAGGTACCAAGATCTTGCTTTGTAGGCGTGACTTGAAATTTTTTGATCCCTAAGAGGTACCAATTATAACACAACACATTATCTCCGGTGATATTTGGTTCCGCGGAAGCTCCCGCTGAGGCTCTCTTGAGGCTTAACACCCTAAGAGGTACCAAAACCGCTTTTTAACCTCTAAAATCCCCTGGGGGGTGGCTTGGAAAAATCATATCACATTATATTATACGACAAGCACCTCCGTCCCCTTTATATTGGAGTTCACCCGGGAGGTCTCAAAACTTCGTAAATGCTGAAAAGACTCACTCAGTGTGCTTGGAACTGCTTGCATGATTGTCAAGAGTATCTGAAATGGGTGCTATTGCCAGCTAAGAAATCAAGCGGATTTTCCTTAACTGATGGGTGACATCTGAGATCTGCAAATTTTACTCTTGGCTGATTTAACTGCCCGCTAAGAAATCGCCAAACCAGGCCCTCTGAAGAGACTAAATAGCTAACTGCTTCTGATAACAAACTTATCACACATATTGAATGATGAAGTTGTAGATGTGTTTAGATTCTAAAGCAGAACATAGTTTCACAAGGAAATAACGGTTATCCAGCAAACACATCAGGGAGGTAGTTACAAAGGAATGAAACCAGAGCTTTAGATTTCGAGGAGGTCTAAGAAAAAAGTACGTGTGGGCTACCCTTGACCTCTGAGAAAGCTCGACGAGATAAACTAGTAATACATTTAGTAAGCATGTATTCTCGGACTGAGTAGAACCTACTGCAAGCGAACTTGTTGCTCTAAGGCTAGTAGGAGACTGAACGAATGCCAACAATTAAGTACGTAGTTACCTTTTTGACAAATGATGTAAAAGCCCAGTCGACCTTCTTACACTATCGCATGTAGAGGGAATCTGCTAAAAGTTTGATTTAAGATTTTCACAAGAAAAATTAAAATACATTGTCCCATCATGAAAGGTTGGAAAGGACTGTTTTGCCCCTGAATTTCATTTCATTTCATTTACTTGTTTCTCACACATATTCGCCCCTTTTTGAATGAGTTCGGGCTAGTTGAAATGGACTAATACAGCGAAGTGATAAATTAATACTGTCTACTGGGGTCAAAGTCTAAATCAGTCGCAAATTCAATACCAAATTCAACGGACCTGATGAAGACGAGGAAAGGCTTTCTGTCGAAGATGATATTGGCCTACTTCTTTCGCTGTCACCTTTGTATACCGTTGTCGGAATATCTTCCCGTCTTGCATTCAACCTCGTAACGTAACATTCCTCTATCAAAACCACCATCTGTCGTTCCAATGCGAACAAGCGATCATTTGTTTCTTCATTTTTCATGAAGAGAATTCCACAAACAAACACTAGAATGACTGACAAAAACGATGGCCTGATGAAAGGAAGAAAATATCCAACTCGATGATACTTTGACGGGTCCACTTCCCTGAGCATGGTTAGCGCACATTCGATAAATCGCCGATGGAAAGAAATGAGTATAGCACACTGCTGTATCACCAACACTTAAATCCGGGTATTTCTGCGCGCTTCACTGACACTCGATATCTGCCAGGTGAGTATTGTTAGTCAACCTTCACAACACGTATCTGATTCTCCAAAGTTTGTTTAGTCTACATAGTGGGTTAGAGGGCACGGGGGAAATATAACTAAACTTTGGTTAGCAAAACGTATGTACTTGTTGCTAGTTATATAATGTAAGCTATTTTTTAGAGTCACCGTAGATTTGAAGTCTATTTCGGAACAAAAAAAATACTGATACTTCATCAAAGGAATCACACTAAAGTCTTCATAAGCCTGTTAAAGCAGTCCTTATTTGTGAATAATATTAAAAATATTAAAAAATTGTTTGTGACGTCATTGGTTCATTTCTGCTTCATTGTTATTCGACTTTGCACACAGAGGGCATCCCGATAGCTGAAGTTGACTCCAAAATGATGAAGGGCTTGCAGAACTATGAAATCTTAATTAGCTCGTTAGGTCTAATATCGAAAAAGATTTGGCGTAAACTTGCTAGGTGGCAAACGAGTGACTTCATGCCTGACATTCTTTATATTATTTTGATTATTTTAACCCTTGTCATACGAAAGGTATATTGTAGGCTCGGCTCAAATTGGTGTGGACGGTTAATCTTGTCAACCCTTTCAGATAGCTTCTTTCCATTTGAGCTCATTTGCAAAGCCAAAAATTGGTTTTAGAGTACACTTAGTTCGTTATAGATAAGATTATGACGTCACAGCTGACTCTATCGAGTCTTCCTTAATTTCTAAGAAGAAGGCCAAAAAGTGTCCAGTAGTGGTGGAATCAAAAATATTAATTACCAAAGTGATGGAGGATTAAAGCGTAAAGGCCGTTTACAATTTTGCCTACTAGCGGACACCACTCGAATTTACATACATTAAACACTCTTGTAGGCCGTTCAATGGGCGAACCTTCAGTAAGGTGAGTGTGGATACAGAGCCTGATCTACATTAGTAGAGGGAAGGGGAAGGGGCGGTTCTCGGTGGTTCCAGTGCGGTTTACCCCTCAACTGGAGCAGGGGTTGAGGAGGTTGAAAGGAAATTTAACTAGCCAGTAATTAATGTGTACGGGAAATACCCAGATTAGGACCTAGGGTTTGATTGGAGTACATAAAAAACATTTTTTTAAGAATTAACAAAATTTATCGTTTGAAATAAACTATTCGAAAGTTTGAGACTTTCTGAGTGGAAATTGACGATTTTACAATTTCACAAACTTGACTATTTGGTCCTTAAAAATAGTTAGGGGAATGAGTCGAGTTGTAAGTGCGAAATACCATGATGTGACGTCATTTTGATACCTTACGTCTCATAGACAGGAAATCGGTCGCTTCAGCTACGAGTGTTTCGGTAACGACCTAACTTTGCTAACGTGTTAAGTCAGTTCTCCAACGTGTTCGGTCTGTTCGTACAATGGTAGGTAGTCAGCTTGTTCTCCCTCGAATTTTGTCGTTCTAGAATTCAAACTCTAAATCGCACCTGTAAATTTGTTCCAATTTGTGAGCGATTCGGTCGTAAAAACAACACCATACAATTTTGCTTAGCAATTTATAGCAATTCAAAGTATTTTTTGTGAATTTCGCGTTCAACTTTTGAAGCGATTCTGATTCCATAATGCACATCTGTCAGCGCCTTCCTAAGATAAATGGAATGGGAAAAACATAAGCTCTAAAAAACAGCCTCTTGGCTTTTCCAAAGTGACTTCAAAGACTTCAAAATTAAGTCTTATCTGACTTCTGCGAGACATAGACAAACCAATTAAAGATGTTTGCGAAGTTACCCAATTCATACAGGACGCCAACGAACTGACCTAAGCAGTTAGCTGACTGGCCGTTGATAAACCTCAAATGGGAAACAACCGCAATTAGGAAAAACAGAAAAGAAAACATGTAACCCTATTCAGGAATGAGCGACTTCAGTTCAAGCAAAGATCAAGCGTTATCAACCGAGGGCATCAAATTGTGCGTTATTAGGACTAACTTCTAGCGCACGAGAGAGGCGGATGAGGTCGGTGAAGATGCAGTAACCTTCGCCGGAACAGGAACAGGCTCCCGGCGAGGACGGAAAACAAATTCGGCGAGCGCGAAACTGAAGAATTTGGACAGTGAAGTGATCGGGGCGGAAGCCTGCTCGCAGGCTAAAGATGCAGATGAATATGAACTTACATTAATAGTGCAGGAAATCAGATATCAAAGAGCTTCCTTTTAATTCGCGATTCAGGGTTGTTTTGCTAGTCAACAAGTTATTAGTCAAATGCATTCTTAAAACCAAGAGTTTATCTCTTGTTACAACTTAATACATATATGGTCTAACCTAACAATGATCGCTCGGATCGGATCGGATCTTTGGTGTAAATTCGGGATCTCACATTCGTTGAGCATAGGTTTTGAAACCTTTGTTGGTTAGGGACACTTGGAACGTAATATCGCCTTTTTTTGATTTGTCTACGTGCATCTTAAAACTTATCATCTGGTATCAACGTGACGTCATCGGTTATTGACCACGAAATTCGAATACCATTTTTAAGGGGAAAATGGCACAATATTAGGGATTGTAAAATCGTCAATTTTTTCCCTAAAATTCTCAAAATATGGAAACGTGTAGTTCAACTGATAAAATTAATATAACAAAGCAAACAAGGAGGAAAAACGTTTTCGTATCATACGTATTGCATCGAATGTGGGTGACCATGGGTTTCCCAGCCAGCCCAAAATAACAAGAACAACACCGTCCTTTATTTATTCACGATATGGGAAAAGGCAAAGACTTAAATGCAAAGACCTGAAATCGGCTGAGGAACAGATATGTCGAGGAACAGATCCGCGTGCTCCTTACTAAAGTGACACTCCTTGTAGCTCAACTCTGTAATATTGAGTTCACTTTTAACATCGTAGGAAACGAAAAATAAGCGCTGGTATCTGGCCCGAACCGACTCCAGAACTGTTGCTGTCTTTGGATGACGCCAGAACATGAAGCTCTTGACATGCCGTCAGTGTGTGAGCAAAAGAACTTGCACTTGTCGTTATTTTAGCTGTTGCGGAGTATAACAGTCCTGCACGAATAGAAATCTCTTGTAAGAATTGAACCTCAAATGTCTTACCAGTGGATCTGGTGTTGTAGGACCCAGTCTTTTCTGCAATCGTAGAACTTCCACGATACAAACCAATGGTGACCTGAAAGGTCGTTGAACCGCTTGTGACTCCCCACAGGCGGTATCCCCGCAGAATGGCGTCACCATTGGTTTGGAAATCAATTGCGTCAACTGTTCCACAGTAACCCCAGCCTGAACTTAGACTTTCAGGTCGTCGGCTGCGCTAGCAATCACAATTTATCGAAAGAAAAGTTGACATGAAAACAGCAACTATAACAGCAACGAATTATATGTAGTAGTAAGTTTCATGCATGAAAAGCTTGTTATATATCTAACGCCTAATATATAGGTTGGTAAATTTTGCCCACATAGAATTGTCAATTGTAAATTATGGACTGTCGCCTTATAGTGGTAGGGGAGCTTGCGTGTTTCCACGACCCCAAAAGCTATACCGTACCGGCTGGGAGTTCAATCTCCCTGGCAGATTCAATCATGCCTGGCAGGTCAAAGGGTAAAAACCAGACTAAAGGACATTCCCTGACCCTCCAGGTTGGGAGTTTGGCGTAGGGCCAATCACCCTACACAGTAAAACAGAGCCTGATTACGGAAACCAAATGACCTTAGGTGTCCTGCGGGGCAAAATGAGGAATGAGACGAGAAATCAGATAAAGCTGTTTCAATACCTTTCTTGTTCTTAGCCAAGTATCAGCTCCGTGTCAGTGGTGACAAACTACTAATCAATGTTTGGCTATCATCGTGTAATATGTTCCACTTATTAGATTAAATGTTAAATCAGAGTCATTTTTTAATTCCGATCCAAACATTTTGAGGAAGGATCGTGCGCATAGATTTTGAGATAAACGTCATGGAAATTACTAGTGCCAGTCTCCCCTTAAGCACGCGGTCTTTCATTTTGGGAAACCAGAAACTGCAAGGGACCGCATACGATAAACACTGCCAACGTAGGATCTAAAAGAGATCTGATCAGCCAAAGAAATGTATGAAGACAAACAATAGACTGCAAGGCTGATACTATGTGAAAAACGCCTTTTGTTTTTCAGTTGTCGCATATAATCGCTAAATAGCTTAACAAACAGTAATTAAAAATAGAAAAATAATACAACACCAACTTCGTGAAAGATTTTACAAAAGAGGTTAAAAACTGCTTTAGCCATTCGTCGAGGGTGTCCACTTTGATCATCTGAAGTACTAAAACATATTGCAAAGTGCAACCAATGCTTCTCTTTCACTGAAAACTTTGCTTTGCATCATTACCTTCCGATCCTGAGTGTGCGGAAACCGCCTTTATTGAAACAAGATGGCGTTCAAAGTTTTGCAGTCATCATACGAGACTATGCAAATTATCATGTGTATTCACCTAATGTATAATTAAACAAAAGTCAAATCGCGAAAGTTACGCCTTGACTTGTTCATGGTCAATAACACACCTTTAAAGTGGCTCAAAACAATAATGTTTCCGTGTGAAGCCTGGGCTCTAACGCGCACTTCAGCGCGAGGAACCACGCGATCACCAGAGGGGTCGCGAGATAGCGCTCGAGATGCAAAACTCACAACAAACATGGCGGAGCGAGGCCTACTTCATAAAAGTTTGTTTCCGCCAAGTTTAGTGAGCTGTTTACGATATCGCTTATTTTCACCATCCAAAACTTCCATCCTTCAGGCAATTAGTTCACAAAAAAACTGCGACGTCGAAGACAGTAGACCAGCTGTCGAGAGCTTATGTTTTTACTTTTTACCCGAGAACGCTATATCCTGTATTATCATGAGATGATTATAATTACAAACAAAGGAAAAATGCAATGTGCGCTGGACTGGTACCTTTTTCCCGATATCACCACACAGTCAATCAAACTCAATCGACCTTTTTTTCAATCGAACTAAATCGAACTCAATCCTTGAACTGAGTTCGATTTATTTCGGCAATCGAACCAAATCGAAATCACACAAAAATAATTGGAAAATCGAAATTTTGATTTCTGAACTCTTCATTCTTTGTAAAACTGGTGTTGAAGTTTTTCAAAATTCGAGTTACTTCAGTATAACACGTGATTTTCGTGTTTTCGAGACCACATAACATAATCTTTGTTCAAGCGAATTTATTCACCGAACAATAGTCCTTTTCATGGTTTATTTTTCTCATTTGCATTACAATGTAATCCAACGTGGATGCGAGGCAATTTCGGGCTAAAACTACAAAATAGCCCGAAATTGCCTCACATCCATGCTAGATTTTATTGTAATGCAAATGAGCACAGTTAATCGTGAAAAGGGCTATTGGACGCAATCCGTTCCAAACTTAATCGAACACAATCTAATGGATTAAGTTCGGTTCGGTTCGATTTGTTCGATTGAGTTCGATTGTTTCGGAAATCGAACTCACACAAAGTACGGTGTTCGATTTGGTTCGATTGCCGAACTCAATCGAAGTCAATCCACGGATTGAGTTTGATTGGGTTCGATTGAGTTCGATTTCCGATCGTTCGATTGACTATGCCGGGCGATATTCACCGTTGCGAGTGTACTAACTCTTCGTGAATTTTTCGGTGGCCAATGGTAACTTTTACGTTATATGAACTGGAGGCATTAAATAAACAGCAATTTGGGAAATTACTAACTAGTGTCGCGTGTTCCGTTGGTATCTTTATAAATACCTTTAAATGAGGATTTTAATCTGAAACACTAAACAAGCATAGGACCCCCCTCCACGCACATAATTAAAGGGCCGGATATCACAGCCTCTTCGAAGATCAAGCGTCTATTTTCAAAAAATTTCGTTTTTTAAAGACACTGCCATAAATAAATAAAAATAAAAGAGTTGTCAAGAAATGAAACTGGAATATAACGATCTTTATTTTCCGGTGCTTCTTATAGGAGATAAATTTTCCCATAAACGGAACTCACATCTCAAACAAGTATTCTGACTACCCCCTGTAGAGCATCAATTCCCACTCAAATAGCAACATTATTCAGATTTTACGCCAAAAGTCGGGAGGGGGAAGGAGGCTTAGTAAATAATTATCAGTAGAATGAATTAACTAAGTGATGAACTGATTTTCAATCACTTGCCAGAAGCATTTCATTAGTCTTTTGTCATCACGACCGCTAGGCTTAAATTTATTCAATTCTGTATTCATTATATGCAATGTTCGTTCCTGGGCTTCCAGAACTCTCGATTATGACCGATGTTTGCCATATCTGATGTGATGACTACTGTTGTTCGTTATATACATGGCTGATTGTTTTAATATCTTAAGTCGTCATAAATGGTCGGTACAAAAGGATTAAAGTCTCAGGTTGTAAACTAGGGTTCCATGGTATATCTCTACTCTGTATTGTTGAGTTCACTTTTAACATGACGAAGAACGGAAAATAAGCCCCGGTATTTGGCCGCGATTCACTTTAGAACCGTTGGTGCTTTTTGGTGACGATTTAAAGGTAACTGTGACACCAGAACATGAAGCACTTGACATACCATCCTCGTGATAAAAAGAACGTGCACTTGTCGTTATTTGAGCTGTTGCGGTGTATAACAGCCCTGCACGAATAGAAATCTCTTGTGAGAAATGCACTCCAAATGTTTTAACACCTGATCTGGTGTTGTAGGACCCAGTTTTTTCAGCTACCAAAGAGCTCTCACGATACAAACGAATGGTGACCTGAAAGGTCGTTGAACCGCTGTTCACTCCCCACAGACGGTATCCCTCGAGGATGACGTCACCATTAGTTTGAAAATCAATTGCGTCAACCGTTTGACTGGAGTATTGCCAGGATGATCTTGAAAAAATTGGACTTTCAGGTCGTCGACTGCGCCAGNCCAGGTTGATCTTGAAAAAATTGGACTTTCAGGTCGTCGACTGCGCCAGCAATCACAATCTGTTGAAAAGGAAAGTTACAGAAGCCATAAAAACAACAAACTCTATGTAGGAGTAACCGACATGAATGAAGAGCCTGTTATATTTCAAATAACTCCACAAAAGACGTGGTTAAGTTTTGCCCATGCACACAGTCGTCACTTTGTAAATGACTACTAATCACTGTTTGGCTATCATCACATAATATGTTCCACTTATCCGAATAAATGTTTAATCAAAGCCATGTTTTTGACTCCGAAAATTTTGAGGAAGGATCATGGGGATAGAGATCAACGTCAGGGAAACTACTAGTGTCCAGTCTCCCCTTTATCACCCGGTCTTTCATTTTGGCTATTAACTAACGCTTCTGTTGTTCAATTGTCGCATCATCCCGAATCTTGAGCGTGTGGAAACTGCCTGTATTGAAACAAGCTAGTGTTCAAAGTTTTGCAGTCATCTTACGACGATATGTAAATTATCCAGTGTACCCGCCTGATGTATAATTAATTAAGCAAAAATAAAACCCCCAAAGAAACGCTTTGACTTGTTAATAGTCATTAACACACCTTTAGGTTGTTTCTGTACGGCCACATTCATCTTAGCTTTCTTTGTGCCCATGCTGTTTGTTGCTACACATTCATAAACTCCACCATCAGCAGGACTTAGATTCTTAATAGTCAGACTACCATCTTTTACTTCAGTTTTGTCAACAGGCATAGGCATTGCTAATCTGTTCCAGCTTAACACAGGAGGTGGAAACCCTACAGCTTGGCAGGTTTGTCGAAAAGTAGAGAGCTCTTTAGGAGTAACAAGTGATGGAGGAGTTGAAGTAAAAATTGGAAGACCTACGGAAAGAATGTTTAAATCATGCAAATAATAATGCAGCAAAAGTGTTACAGATCTCAATGAACTTCTATCCTTTTGAGAGCCTGCCNGCTCACTCCCCACAGGCGGTATCCCTCGAGGATGACGTCACCATTAGTTTGAAAATCAATTGCGTCAACCTTTTGACTGAAGTAGCTATAGTGCCAGGATGATCTTGGGCTTTCAGGTCGTCGGCTGCGCCAGCAATCACAATCTATCGGAAAGAAATTAAGTTGACGTGAAAACAACAGCGACTATAACAACAACAACATGCATCAAAAGCCTGTCATATTTCTAACTCCATAAAAGAGGTGGTTAAATTTTGCCACACAAAGGCGTCACTTTGTAAATGAGATGAAACACCTTTCTTCTTCTTATACAACTATATATCAGCTTGTTGTTGTGATCACAAACGTCTAAACACTGTTTGACTATCATTACATGATTTCGTCCATTTTCCGTATGAATGTTTAAGTTAAGAACCAATCAATAGTTCCGGAAATTTTGAAGAAGGATCGAACGGATAGATCTTGAGGAAAACGGAAGTGTAGCATATCTCGTAAACTTGTAATGCTATTTGTCTTCTTAGTATAGCAGCTGTTCTAGTTTTGCTGCTAGGTCAATTGTTTTTGTTGTTTTATTGTCCTCTTAAAAGATATCAAGCCATTCACGTGATACCTTACGAGAGCTGCTGCATGACCCGAGGTAAACGTCATGGAAATTGCTACCGCCCACTCTCCCCTCAAGCACTCGATCTTTCATTTTGGCTATTTATTAACCTTTGTATTGTTCAAGTGTAACATATGATGGTTAAATACTTGAGCAAACGGTAATTAGAGAAAGAGAAAAAACTTGTTGAAGCAGTTTACAAAAGATTTTTAATTTGGGTTTTTTACACCCTCAAAACTGTAGTGAGAAGCATTCGCCGAAGGTGTCCGCTAAATATAGGTCTGCATTTGACGTTAGTATTAATATCATAAGGTGATCAGAACAGGCAATGCTTAACTAAAGCTCCGTTTTGGCTCTTTATTCTAAGGTTCTGGATGTGGACAAACTGCGTTTATTGAGACAATTTAGCATTTAAAAGTTTACAGTCATGTTTCGTGGCTAAGCAACAATACAACCGCCTCAACTTGTTTATCCCGCGCGGTGCTTGGAAAAATTACAAACCTTTACTTGGTCCTTTCTGTTCAACCACATTCATCTTAGCTTTCTTTGTACCCATGCTGTTTGTTGCCACACATTCATACAGTCCGCTGTCAGCGGGGATCAGTGTCTTTATGGTAAGACTACCATCTTTTACTTCAGTCTTGTCAACAGGCAAAGGCATTCCTAATCTGGTCCAGCTTAACACAGGAAGTGGAAACCCTACAGCTTGGCAAGTTTGTCGAAGCGTAGAGAGCTCTTTTGGGGTAACGAGTAATGGAGGTATTGAAGTAAAGATAGGAAGGCCTACGAAAAGAAAGTTTAAAACGTGCAAATAAAAATGCAAGAAAAGAGTTCCAGATTTTGACTGACCTCTATCGTTTTGAGAAACATCCGTAATCTCAGTCGTTACGTAGTAGTCCTCTTTAAAAAACCTTCATTACGTGCATTGAAAATAACGACAGCCACGGAGATTAATGAAATAACACTTTCGCACGATCTACTCTAGCAATACTTCGAGTTCAGTATTCGGACGTGTGTAGCCTGCGTAGCTTGGCGTTTTTTAAACGATTTGAGCGCGCTAAGAAGCGGCGAAGCCGCAATAACGAGCGGCGAAGTCGCAAGAAGCCAGGGTAAGAGTCAACTGAGAAACCGCCTGCACAGATGACCGGCATTTTTTGTTAGTCCAGTACGCTAGGGTACGGGCCATTGCCACTGGATCAGAATGCTAACCCATCAATTAAAATTTGCGCTAATCTCCCAAGGGACAACTCGCTCCTGAATATTCTTCGCGAATACCTTGTCGTGAAATTGTTAACTGCGAGACATGAGTAAGAAACAGACGTAAACATTTTGCCCCATGGGAGAGATGTGATGGCCGTTTTCCCAACACGCTTTGGCCAAAGCATGATTTTTACTGTGTTTTACTGTTTGTGCTCACCAGACTAGAACTGCCGTCCACGAGAACCAGTGTCGTTGTTATTTCGCTGTTAAAGAGCATCATCGACGACTAAATTTCAGAAATATTATCGCTGAACTTCAC